TCTCAGCTACGGTTCGCGCTGTTGTAACCCGAGCGACGTCATGACTGAAAATTGCGACCGAAATTTCATCATGCGAATCAGGCTTTAGCGTAACCTCTGCGGCGTCCACGCGGAATGAATCGCCGCATGTCACATTATTCACGCGAAGTTTTGTGGTATAGCGAGCCTCAGTAATTTTGCTGAGGCTGCTTAAGTAGTCGGGCATTGCCCAGGAAGACGTACAATCAACAATTCCAACGCAGAAACCTGCGTTGGACTCACACCACCGCCGACAACAACGCAATTCAATGGTTTGTTTATCGGCGACGCGGCGAGCTTCTTGCCCACACCCCATCGCGCATGCGCGGCGCCGGTGGCGTCGGCTAGGAGCGCTCCAGTTTGTTTGTAAACATGAGTTGGTGTATAAAATATAGTGGAAAAATGATGTGAAATGAGGTGCCATTGAGCACCACGTTTTACATGCTCACGTCACGTCATGTGAGTATAACGTTAGGAAATTCATTTTTAAAGGGGCGATGCAACGATTTTTGTATTTTGCGCAAATACCGCTTAGGACGGATCCCTGACGTTAATGACCTGTAAATTACCCGTTCGTTTTTCACCACACGCAATCGAAGTGGTAGAAAAAATTAAGAAAAACGAGCAAAGTTCACCCCTCAACTCGCAGCCAGAACAAGCGGCCACGTGATCTGGAGCCGATTATATGCCGCCAGTGTTGATCATAGCCACGCGCTGGGGTTGGCAAGGCACAGGAGACGCGCTGCGTTCCAGACATTGTTATGGTTCGGCTGTTTTCGTCATTGCAGCGCTTGGACACAGGACATACCCGAATGCTTCTCGAGCTATCGATTATCACGAGCCCAAATCGAGTGCCGACGCAATGCTCGGGTCCAATCTATGAGCCGCATTCACATATCGTCACTGCGCGGTACTGCTACCGCCCAGCTACGTCATCAGCTTTTTCGAAGGAGAGATCGAATGAAAACGCTCGGTTTTGTCCTCGAAATTACGGCGCAACAAAGGAGTTTCTTGGCCAGTGGTGTTGCGTGTGAGTATCCTTGAGAACCACTAGTGCCAGTAAGCTCGTGTAAAGTGAAAAACATTCCAATTGAATATCGTTGCACCGCCCCTTTAAGTCTAGATACTTTAGACCTTGTCATTCGCAGTTTTCTCCGTTGGTAGCAGCCGCCTGCATTACTGGTGTTCTCGCGGAAAGTGGCGCACTAGCTCCCAATCAATCGCACAGCGCGTGCCATCCTGACTGAAAGCAATGTCAAGGGGTGAAACTAGAAGACCCTGTCCTTTAATAAAACGCTTCATAGAGATTCCCGCTTCAAGAACTTGCGTCCCATCAAGTCTCCGAGTCTATTATATTCGCGAGCACCGCCCGGTCGGACTTTAGCAAATGATTGACTCTTTGTCCAACAGATGTTTAGTCGAACTGTGGTAAAGTTTGAAGGTAGGCCAGTCGGTGCTGACACGTGTGACGTCACTGTTCCTCGCGCATACGCAGCACGGCTCGCCAGAAGCCACGCGAAACTGCTCAACCTCGGCCAGTGTAAACTACGCTACAAAATAAACTCCTAAAAACACGCTCCGATTCTATTCAAACATGAACTCCGAAAACACAGTACGCTACATCTAATAGGAGTCTATGCGCAGCCAAACCCCGGCGTAAAACAACGAGCGCGAGGCGCGCGTGAGTCGCGCGCCTCGCCTCGGTTCAAAGCTGAGAAAAGTGGAGTCGAGCACCATCATTAGTTATCTCGACTGCATTTCGCTCAAAGTAGGTTGAGCGACACGAACACGCTCAGAAGTAAACATATTGCTTTGAGGTGAATGATCCAATGAGTGGTTTAATTAATGATGAGGTGTACTCTGACCAACGGGTTCGAATAAAACACAGATTTCATTGCTTCGGCAAGGTGCAAACCTCTTAAAGAGGCGACCTCTTTAAGAGGTTTTTCAGGCGAGGCACTTACTTTTTTTATTTATTTGTTTAACTGACATACTCTCAGGGCCATCAGCATTACAGAGGTGAGCGGGAGTTAGAAGAGAACAGAACAAAGCTGTACACTTTGGAGCTCAGTCTGAGCTGTATAGATTATTTACGGCAATATTTAAACATATAGTAAGTGGCAATTGTGGCAACAGATGTGGGGAGGTAGTTCCAGTCCACTGAAATTTTTGGGAATGGATGACTCTTGTTTTGGAATGTCTACTTATATATATATATATATATATATATATATGATGAAATCCGTGACAAAATATTAGACGGGTGATTCAGCGGTCGGCTGTGAAGTACTGCGTTATTATGGTATCTCTTATGAAAGTGACATCAACGCGCTATTTTACGACGTAAAGTGAGGCAGGCAACGATAGGCTGGTTGCCATGGATCATAATTATTAAGATAAAATACACAGAACAATTTTGTACTGATCGAACGACGGTTTAGCGAGCGAAACCTGGCCCACGGCGTTTCATCGAATGCCACTTTAGCGAATGGCGGCGTTCATTTGACCGAATAGATAAAATGAAGGACGCCGCTGTCCTGTTTTCGAGCTTGCCGAACCTTTGGCGATGGACGCTCGAACTTGAGTTCATATTATTTTCCCCAAACTATACCGAAGCACCCCTTGCTATCGTTCTGAACAGACCGCCTGGCGCGGTCTGTTTGGATGCCCAGTTTGCCGCCCCTACAAATGCCTAAACGTCGACTCGCGTATGTGATCTCTATTCGCTAAACTCTAATGCGCTAAAACGTCTTCGTTCATATAATATGGACTCGTATTAATGTTTGTAAGATGTTTCACAAAAATCGTGCACGCAGGTTCGTGTCTGTCTCTCCTTTTTGCCCCCTCGGCGAGCGGTCGTTGGCAAAAATATAAGCGCCTTCTTTTTTTTTTTCGTAGAAAAAACCGTCCGCAACAAAAGATAAAAAAAAAAAAGAAAAAAAAAGGACAGGTTAGAAGGTTTTGAGGTGGGGTCCACTCCAGAATCACAACGCCGACAACCAGGCGAAGTCTAGGGAGCCTTCATGTGCGCTTTGCTAGAGTGATGCCACCCTTTGTAATACCGCTCGCCCACAAACCAGCAGCCATTTTGGTTCTGGGCATCCGTGGGGCTAATAACTCTCCCGGAAACAAGCACCTTATCTCACAAGTTCGGAGCAGGGAAGTCAAGAAGCCGCTCGCTCTCCACAGCATGCGCGCTCGATGAAGAAAGCGCGAAACAAAACGAAAATAAAAGAAACGGGACAACAAAACTAAAACCAGAGGGAACAAGCTAAACAAAGAAAATGACAAGTGCAGGGTGCGTCGCCCGGCCCAGCCCAATACCCCCCCCCCCACACACACACACTGACACACACATCTGGAGTCGTCAGCGCCGCTGCGAAAGAACTTCGAGGATGGCTGAGAGCCGGAGGCAGTGGCGGTGGCCGCGGCTGCAGGGGCCGACGCCGCTTTCCGTGACCTCGGTGACTCGGTGAATGGCTGTGACTCGGTGAATGACTGTGACTCGGTGAAGGGCCGTGAAGTCGAACCGGTCGAACGACTCCATGAACGGGATCAGTTCACGGACGTGAGGGGAACGACTTGCTGAACTCGATGAGCTCGTGATGGGATGGTGAGCGACTTCGTGAATTCAGAGTTGGCGGTGATGGGATGGGGAATGCTTCATGAACTCTGTCGGATTCGTGATGTGACGGTGAGCGACTTTGTGAATTCAGAGCTGGCGGTGATGGGATGGGGAATGCTTCATGAACTCTATAGGATTCGTGATGTGACGGTGAAGTACTTCGTGAACTTGACGGATTTGTGAAGTGACGGTGAATGACTTTGTGAGTTCAGAGATTGAGGTGACGTGATGGGGATGAGTTTGTTATCCGGTTGAACTCCGTGATGCGAATGGCCGTGACTTTTGGACGTTGGTGTACTTTGTGATGTGAAGGGCCGTGAATATTAGACATCGGTGTACTCTGTGATGTGAAGGGCTGTGACGTTTGGACGTCGGTGTACTTTGTGATGTGAAAGGCCGTGACTTTTAGACGTCGGTGTACTCTGTGATGTGAAAGGCTGTGACTTTTGGACGTCGATGTACTTTGTGATGTGAAGGGCTGTGACTTTTGGATGTTGCTGTAATTAGTGATGTGATGGTGAGTGAGTGGGTTCGGAAATGCCGACCTATGCTAGTACCGCGATCCCAGCGATAGATACTAAACAACTTTTCACACTCAAACACTTCATTGTTAGAAACCTTGGCAGGTAACTACGTTTCTGTTAGTATGACGACATCAGCACAACAAGTACCAATAAGGGACAACAAGTCACCACGCTTGTTTACAATGTTGCTCGATGTTCTCTTCCAAATGGTCCAATTTTTTTAATGCGATTAGCTTTCCTTAGGACCTTCAGGCCACTCCGAGGTACGCTTCCGGCCCTTTATTTGCCGCGCTAAAATTAGCGGAGAAAATGACGCCGCATGGACGCCGCGTGGCTCAATGTTGCGTGACCTATACGCAAAGTCGGGCTCTCCGCCAGATTTGGCGGGAAGGTCGGCGTCACATGACATCGACATCGATCCAGCTTCCCCGGTAAATTTGGCGGAGAAATTGAATACACACATATTCGGTTGCCCCGCCATACTCGGCGAAAAAGATTGACGTCGCACGATTTGACGTCACGTCATCTACGCACAATTCAGCTTCCCCGCTAAATTTAGCGGAGAAAACATTGTCTCACGGCTTGGTGTCACATGACCTACGCGCAAATTCAGTTTAATCGCTAGCGGAAAAATCAACAAGTGATTGGCCGTGGTTCCCTCAATTATGCCTGCGGTCAATCGCTCAATTAGACAAAAACACAGTTGGCTCTGCCTGAAATTTTTCCACAGACTTCCTGCGCCACGGGCGCGTTCAAACGGGCGAACTTCGTGTTTGCATACAAATCGGCCGAGCGGGTGGAAGCGTGGAGCACCCCTCGAAATTTTTACTCACTTTGTGTGGGCACGCTATCGTTCTGGCAACGTCGTCGCTCTGCTTCCTCGGCTTCATCCTACGAGAAAAAGAGGTTGCCTGAATGAGCGAGGGTGTGCCCTCTTGCACAACTGCCACGCCAATTAGATGACGAGAAAAAATAAAGGTTGAAGCAAAAGAAGAGCTGTCAAATCGACATAGAAAGTGCCGTCAGCCAACTGGAGGAGATCCCACGAATTTGACAGAATGAAAGCAACAAATTTAATGAAGGAGTCTGTTAAAGTAACAAACAAAGCGAGCACTGGAGACATTGCCACATATTTCACAGCAAAAGCGGCTAAATTAACAGACAAGCCCATTAAAGTGACGAAGAATGCAAATTTGAGAGAATGAATGCAGCAACATCAACAGAGAAGTCAGTTAAAGTAAGGGAGAAAACAATCCAGTCGCGGGAGTCGGAGACAAAGCCAAAAATCTGACGGAACGAACAGTTAAAGTAACGGACTAGTCCGTTTAATAAGTGACAGAAAGCCGTCCAGTCACAGGCACGAGCTCGTGAGGCTAGCAGGCGGCAACCGCGCACGCTTGTTTCAAGCCCTGGCGCGAGGACGCACGGGGGGAAAGGCAGACGCCGGCCAAAGGAAGGGAGACCTCGCCTCGCCCAGGAATGTTTGGCCCACTGACCTCTGGGAGGAGCTGCCCTTGCCCTTCTCTGGGGAGTAGACGCTGGTGCACTGCACCTGCTCCCACCACTGCTTCATGCCGTTGTCCGGCGCCGAGCTGCAAACACAAGCGCCAAACCCTGACGCGAGGGGCTCAGCCGGCGGCAACAGACGCACCAGCGTGCACCGATTACACACGTGCCGTCCCTCCAACTTACGCGCAATTTGCCGAGCGGCGAGAACGAACAACGCTTTTCTTAGAAACTGCCAAGGACACGGCTACGGTCGGGCCTTGCTCGTCAGACGCTCGGTCAGCCGAATTCCTACTTGGTTTGTGACCGTTTCGGTAGGAAACAACATCGCAGTTGTTTCCTACCGAAAAAGAAACCGAGCTCCGCGAATGCAAGGCTCGGCTGGTTCCCTTTGCAGTCGTCGACGGAACATTTGGAAGCAGCGAACCGATGCTAGGTAAGCCTCTCTTCCCACCTACCTTCTTTTAGGAGAAAGGGAGAGGGAGAGGGGGCGGTCTGGCCACTAACCCTAATAATTCTACTCTGCGCGGGGGAAAGGAAAATATTACTCTCGAAACTCCCGGTTAAAGCGCAAACCTCACCGCATCGCAAATCTTATCATGACCTAAAGCAAAAACATGTCTAGGTCGTCGTGGGGGCCCCCCCTTAATGCAGTGTGCTCGTCGATTGTTAATGCTGCACCTTCCGCAACCCCCAATTTTCTATTGCGTCTCCTGATCTACCGTCAATGCCAAGCAAACAAGATCCTGAGCATGCGAAGAGTCCACGGCACCAAGACATGAAATGAGCAGGAGGCTACAGGAAGTACAAAAAAAAAAAAAAAAACATAAACGAGAATGAGACTATAGGGTACAAATTTCTGATGAATCTGACCCGGGCACCAACAAGTTTTGCTCTTAGTGTCTGGGTTGTCTTTCTTTCAGTCTGCCTATGGGTTTTGTTATATTTCTCATAACGCCAAGGCACTGACGTTTTAGGTTTTGACTGGGCCCGGAAAAACAAAGTCACACGGCATAGTGGTTAGGTAAAGTTACAAAAGGCCACTAAAAGAATCCTTGGCTCCATGCCATTACTACATCAATAGCTTAAATGTTCAATGAAAAAAAAAAAAAAGGCCTTCATTTGCATTAATATATTTGTCACTACATCAAACGCCTGTAACTCACACTTCAGGTACTCGAAACTTATTGAAGTTTTACTTAAGCAAAAGTAAGTTGTGATAAGCAATGGACATACTTATGTAGTAAAGAGGATAACCTAACACTAAGAAAAAGCTACTATGTAATAGCACTATACATATCGGGTTTTTTCACATAACGTCAATCTGCCATTTTGCTGTTAGAGTGAGTGAGTGAGAAAATGTTTTACTGGTCAGAAAACGAAAAAATAAAGAGGCTCAATGAAATTTATAAGTTTTCATGTACTACCGATTTGAGCGCGTCATGTGAATTTTCGGAATACTCGCCTTCAGCACGCGCCAGACAGACAGCTCGTGACAAAATGGTGGAAAAAATTACTTCGGTGAAAACGCCCAATAGTAGAGGAACCATTTTGGTAAGTGTGTAGTGCTTGTAAAGCTATTTAGGATGCTGAAACTATTTTATAGGGTGTTTTTACGTGGCACATATCACCAGCCATTCTGTTGGTGGATGGTAGCACGTTGGAACTATCAGTTTCGGTGCACATTGGGACGTTCACTTCCCACACGTGCCAGACAGCTCGCAATAACAAAAGGGTAGATGAAATTATGTCAATAAAAAACAAAAGGGGCATTGTTATAGGCCCGAGAGGTTATAGTTCCAAAGTATTGGTCAAGAAAAGTAACAAAAACAAAAATACAAAAAAAAAGACGAGCATGTTAGGGATGGTCAGAATATATAAAAAGAATAAACAAACAAGACAAGTCATTTACCATGAAGTCATCAAGTCACTCACCATGGTAATGTCACCCTTTCCTGCCTTTTCTTTCCTCAGCACCACTTTCTATCCCCCACCCCCCATACCTTGCAGTCCTTCAACTTTAGAGCTCCCAGTGATGCATTTCTGGATATCATTAAATGTTGTTGCTAGTCGAAAGAGGCAGACATGACATCTCTTGCTTTGTTTGGTTATTCTCACTACAGTCATCGAAGAACAAGAAGTGCAGGACACCTCCTTTGGATGCCTGACCTCCGGCACATGTTCTTTGCTTTCCCTCGTGCTTTGGCTGAGCACGCATGCTCAGAGCATTAACTCATGTGGCACACATGGAGCGTTGGACTGCTTAGCATGGCTCATAGCACCCGTCCGCCGTAAGGACTGGCTCACGCATTTATGTCCGAGCGTGACCGACTGCGTCCAAATCGCTCTGGACTGCTTACGACGTGATAATAACGGACAGGCACCACCTGTTGGACAGCAACGGTTCATTTCCGGTCTGCATATATTTGCTCCTTTTTTTACGCGCTGTTCTTTGACTATGGGCTTGAAACAATTTTGACATTTTTCACGGAGAGTGCTGATTTGACCTAGCATATACTGCACTATTTTTTATCTAGTTACGAGCAAGTTTGAAGTGTTTTGGGGATTCCCAATGGATGGCGCCAGTCTCTGACGGTGTGTTTTCTCGTCGTAAGAGGTCACAAACGGTCACAACACGCCCAGTCACACTCGGATGCAAATGCCCGAACTAGCGTTACGGAGAAGCAAAGTATAGAGGCGGGACAACCGACGGAACCCCTCGCAGTTCTTGTCCCGTCGGACGGCGCAGCTCTCGGAACAAAGCGCTCTGGTTCCGAGTTCAGAAAGGGGCATGCTCGAGGGACGGAGAAACGTGCAAGGGACCACTGACTTGGCGAACTCGGCCAGCTGCTTGGGGTCGCTGAGGTCCACGCCGGGGATGCCTCCTGGGGGAATCTTCTTGCCCGTCATGTACTCCGTGTAGTCGGGGTCCGGCTCTGGCGTCGACTCCTCTGCAACTGACAAGGGCGCCAGGGTCACTCCAGACAGCCTGTTCCACCCACCACTCCGACGCGGGAGGGCGGGCACCACGCCCAACGCGGCCCACAAGTGTCCTGGGGCAACTCTGCTTCATTTTAGTTGCCAAGAAAGTGCGACACGGCTCTCCTTATAGTACACCGGCCACCCTTAGGCCGAGTGCGGCAATTGCTGCAAGCACGAGAGCTTGAAATCGGGAACCCTAAACGTTCTTCAGCAGACCGCGCAGGCACATCTCAAAGCCAGGAGTGCGGGCTAGCTCGCGCTTATAGCTTCGGCTGTAGCCTCAGCTTAAAGGGAAACTCCAACCAATATTGTCGAATTGTGGTTTGCGACTGTTTTCAGTTCCGTCAGTGTCCCTAAATACAAAGTGTAATTTTTTCTTTTTTTCGGTATTGTGTGTAGTTTTATAAATATCACGTCTCAAAGTTCGGTTTCGGGCGTCTACAGCTAAACCGAAACTATCTGCAGAGCAGCGGTTCTCAAATGGAGGTCCGCAGACCCTTTGGGGTCCGCAAAAGCATTCTAGGGGTCCACAAAGCCCAGCCTCATCAGTCAAGCCCAGAAATAAAAGTTGTCTTTTCTCAGATTGTGAAGAGACGTTTCAATTTTCGGATGAGTTTTCTCGTGGATATGTCAAAAAGAGAAGTCTACTTCACACTAGCCCTTACTTATATCCATTTATTAAATCACTATCATAACTAACCTATACATTCCCTTCCCCTCACCACAAATGGGGTCCTCCATCATCTCCGCCGATCCACAAGGGGTCCACGACCAATCAATGGCTGAGAACCTCTGTGCTAGAGAATGGCAACACTGATCATCAGCTGTACGACAGCGACGTAACGTCACTGTGGTGCTGTGGTGCGCGGTACAGCGTGTAGAATCAATTGCAGTTCCAATGCTTTGTGATGTCAGGGGAGCGCTGCAGTGTGCGTCGCCCAGTGTTTTTTGACTAAAGGCTAACTTGCCTGCTAAAGATCAGCTGGTCGCATCTTTAAAATCGGTTTTAGCGGAGTATGCGGCAGCGCTTTGACGTAATATTTTGGCTGTGATCATATTTCGTGCCGCTAAAGCGATGCCAGTCATTTATTCTGATTCAGTTTTCGACCAAAGTTGGCATTTAACCCCTCGCTTGCTTATTTTATACTTCGAGGAATGTACTGCGAAATTTTATTTTAAACGGAACATTAGAGGGGCAATGAAGGCAATTTTGGACATCTTTTTGGCGATTGAACTGGGTTCCAGGCACGTCTCAGGCCACGTTGCCCGAATTTCAGCCGAAACCGGCGCTTGTGTGCCGTGCAAATCAATTAAACAGTCGCGATAATAATCGTACTGGGATCGACTGGGGCAACGCCCCGAGAGTTGCGGGAGAAGCGGAGCTCACGTGACCGATGCGGGGCCAAGAAGCGCGATGTCACAAGAGACGCGTCAGCGATTGGTCGAAACAAGAGACGTACGTGCCCTCGGTCAAGTTTTGGTTCGCAATTTTTAGAAATACTATTCTAATTTCCGCTAGAATAACCATGAAAAGTATAAATCGAACCGGAAATGATTACTAAACTGCAAATAAAGCAGCATAATTGTTTTTTTTTTTCTTTGCTACGCTGGACGCGAAACGGCCAACGAGCAACTACGGGCACTTCGGCATGCGGGCCGCTCGTTATCGGCTGGGCGGTCTCCGTCGGGTGATGGTGGAGGCCGCCACACACATACTCCCGTTCCGTTTGTGTTGGGTCACTGAAAGGAAGCTCGAACTCGCTCGCGAGAGCGGCATTGCCGTCCATGTTGACAGATTCGACGAAACGACCGCGCCACTGCGCTGGTATAATTCACCGCGGTAACCAGAGTCTCAATCTCCTAAATACAACCGATACAGACTATTCACACTTCCCTACGTCACTTCCGTTTTCGGAGGCCCAGAAACGAGAATGGAGATTGTTCAGTTTCGGTTTCTTTACTTCTTTCGTAGGCACAGAAATACACATCACAAATGTCTACAAAAAATTGGGCAGCTTGCTATGTTCCCAAGAAGCATAAAAACACCATTTAAAAAAATTAAATAAAATCGTCTTCATTGTTTCTTAAATCAAATTCAAAGAGAAGGTTTTGGTTATCTTTGCTGGCTACAGTGGACCTCCACGCCAAAGTCGGCTTGTTTTAGCGTGAACGCTCACAAGTGACTGCTTTTTTTTTTTTTTTCCAGGCTAAACGGAGCGTTTTCCCTCTGTCGAATAGCAAAACTGCCCAAAGTAACTGGAGCAACAGGAGTAGTTTTGCCATCTGCCAGAGAGTGCACGAAACAAGTGCCGAAACCGAAACGTGAGTCACAGTCGTGGTCGGATTTCATCGTCCGTGAGGGAAGGCACCAGTGACACTCTTCATTAGAGGGCAAAGGGTTAAGGCAAAAGGAGTGTGTGTCACGTTGATGTCACTAAGTAATTACGCTAATATCGGCACCACATCTGCCGACTGTCATGTGGGCGTCGCCATTTTGGTGCATAGAGCAGCGTGGGCACAACTGGCAGTCATTACAACTAAAAAAGGCACCTTCCTGAGCTTCAGATAGAATGTCAGGAAGCCGAGGCAGCACCGTTTTGCTCTGTGACGGACTGTCCTAACATTTCTGGAAGATCAGAAAACATTTTCTCGTGATATCTGTCTCCACTGTCGAGTGGCTCCAGTGTCATCGAGAAAACTCACACATCAAACGTCTGTCCATTACGAAGCAAATAGCTCCAACTCTTAAAATGCAACTCCACTTCATTTTTGTTTTTCAAAAAAATAATGCAGTCCTCTTCACTATCATCTAGAAAGACTACAATATAATATTACAACAAATTCTGGCTAAATTTTTTTAAACAGTCTGGCAAAATTTGCAACTCGCCAAGTTGCCGAAATCGGCTGACTCGAGCGGGCGAATCGAGGAGCAACCAAGAGCGCAGTCAAGGCTACGGCAAAGGGCGTAGCCAATATTAAGCTAAATGTCATCACCATTGCCCCCTTTTGCTTGTTCTTATTTCTCCAAGCAAGTGTAACGGGTGACGTCAGAAACGTTTCCTCTCGGCACAGCGGTGGACACGCGATTGGCGTCACGCACCTACGCAGCGCGCTTCTTGGGAGCTATCCGGCCAGCCCACCGTGGTCCCGCCGTTACCGTCGTCTCCCGTGTCACAACTGCCGTCGTCGTCTCACCGTTTGCGACTTTTATTTTTCTGAATTTCGTCCACACTACGGGCACTAAGTGCGCAGACTAATGTTGCAGTTGTGCAAACATCGTTGACTGTCGTGGACACTAAGACATGGTGAACAGTGCGGTGCAGGCAACATATGCGTCTAGCACACGCCCGCCCCAATCTCACCCGTTGTTGCATAGAGGATCACGCGACATCTTGTACACCGTAATAGCCATGTTCTTGGCGGCCCGAGGTCAATGTAGCCGGATGAAGCCGAAGTTTCGGTTTGGATTTATGCTCATGTTTGAAATTATATTAAAAAATATCCATTCCATTTTTCGCGAAGCAAATGACGTAGTGTCTTTTACTAGGGCTTTTTACAGAGAAATCACTCATTATACCGAAATCTTAGGAAGTGAGCGGAGTTGCCCTTCAAATGTTGTGCGAGAGAGGATAGATAGAAAAGCCAACAACCAAATTGTCACAGGTGACCATAAGATTAACCCCGACAGCCTGTTAAGCTTCTCCAATAAAGCAAACGTTAAAGCTTCACGAAAAAACATAAATAAGCTTCTTTATTACTAGATGGGAAGCAAACGAGCTTCCTGGAGGCCACATTCAGAAGTTTAGTGATTGTTAAGAGCCGACGTCTAATGAAGCAACTTTGCAAGTTTTGTCGCGGAACAGTTAGCATTTCCAATGGCAAGCGTGTCAATGCCAAAATCAGCTGAAGAAATATCATGTAAAATATAAAATATAGCGAAGGTAAACTCCAAATTTCAGGCAATTTAAACTAAAAACACTAAATTTTCAGCAAAAAAAAAAATTATCGTAGATTTTAATGACAAATAAATTCACAGAAACACGGAACCCTACTTGCACTCCTTTTGAATACAAGGCATACCAATCTAGAAACTGGATATAGGTAACAAAAACTCTCCTCCTTCAGAGCACCACATTATGGTGATTTCTCGTCTGTACTTCAATAATCCTGCGAGATCCTTTGAAACAGTGCTCTGGCCCCAATATAAGTCCTCCCATGACAGAGTTTTTAGGAAGGGGAGGTAGAAAACAAATCAGCAAATAGCTGATAAAGATATTTATGCGGATACTCTATTTTTATTCGTCTTTTTTTGTGTTTGTATATACGCGAGAGCGAAAACGCGGTTATTGCCATGATTGCACCCTGTCGTTTCAAAAGAGAGGATAAGAAAATAATCTCCTTTCTTATCGACGAGAGCCAAATTCAGAATGATCACACAACACGCGTGGCCAGTAATAATTCCCAAGTTCTACCGCACTCAGAACAATTTGTATTCAACGCGCTCGTGCTCGAGTGCCTTCCTCGTACACCTCGTACTGTTGTCAGGCGCTCAGCGCTAGCGCGCGCGCAATCCCGTAAAAGGGTTTTCGCTCGTTTGGCTCGTTCAACAGCTACGAGCAACTCCCTCCCCCAACACTCCGCTCTCGTTTTTTTTTTTTTGTTTTTTTCCTTTTCTTGTTTATTGATTTTCTTTCCAATACCTTTATTACGCGCAAGCGCTCAAATACACAGTTCAAACGTGACCCAGTCGAACTTAAGCTACAAAGTTTTAGCGTACTTAAGACATAGAAGCGCAAAAGAAAGCCTCCCTACGAAGGCGACGCGCGGAGAATCGAGGGGTCGACGGGTTTCGCTCGTACTCGTGAACTGCGCTGCGCACCCGACGCCAACCTTGAACGATAAAAGCTGTTTACGCAGGGCCCACACCCCCGAGTCGGGCCCGAATTCTACGCCACGGTCTCTGAGACTACCGTAGTCCTCGATCGAAGCCGTTCGCGTCGGCCAGCGACGGCGCCGAGCGAGCCGACTGCTCCGAAAAGCCTGCTCAAACGCGACGCCGTGCCGTCCAAAGATGGCCGACCTCCGCCATACTCGAAAAGACGCCATATTGTTAGTTCGGGGAACATGGCGGCGCCCATGGAGGATTCATGGCCGGTTTTTCATTCAAAACATTGCCAGAAACTGCCCGAAATGTCCGGGATTCACCCGCACAACGTGCGGCAAACTGGGCCCGTGCCGCGGCACCCCCACCGGCGATGTTGCCTCGGGCGGGGAGACCGCGACAAGGCACCCGCGACGTTCTTCGCGATCCAAGCGGCGCCGATATTTTTGCGGCGATTCGCGGGGACGCTGCTCACTTCTAGTATGATTTCGAAAATGAACCTACCGTCCTCCGTTCCGGACGCCCACATGGTGACGGAAAACTCGCCTTCGAGCGTCTTAATCTGCACCTGTTTTTGTTCCCACTTGCGAGTACTCCGGTCCGTCTCGAATGTGAGTTCGCCGCCGAAGCCTCTCCCCTTGCCGCCTCGCTTCCCTTTGCGGCCGCGTTTGCCGGACGTGCTCGGACTCGTCTCTATCAACACTTCGGGCGTGGGCACTGGGATGTTGTCGTAGCCGGACAGCGCTTCGTGATCGGCGTCGATGCTGCCGACGATCTCCTCTTGCGTTTGGAGTATGATCTCTTCCCTCCCGGGTTCTGGCAGCGGCTGCAAAGCGATCATGGGCTGTCCCTCGACGGATTCGACGGTTGTGACCACGGTCTCGACGGGCATTTCGACGGGGATAGCCTCTATCTCGACTTCTTGGATTTCGGGCTGAATCTCTACCTCGGTAACCACATCCGAGGACGCCATCTTGCCCATCTGCAAAGATGGAGGAAGAACCACGTGACCGCCGTTATCGTGACGTTGTCATGGCGTCAGAGCAACCGTCGGAGCTCAATCTTTTTTTTTATGGATGTGTTTTATCTGTTTCATTGTTTTTTGCTAAGCATTTTTTATGCACGTGTTTGAAGCTATGTGTCGGCTTAACAATATTGTTTGTGTCTCTTTGCATTTTTTTAAAATAAAGTAATAGTTTAACATTTGTGTTATAAGCGTTAATGAAACGCCAAAACCTGAAAAAGAGAAATCATTAAAAACAAACAACAAGACAAAAAGAAGCGTTGACACGCTACGCCATCGCGCGGTGAATATCGTCGGCTTACAGATTTTATTTGCTGCTCATTTTTTGTTCCCTTCGCTTGCCTGTTCGTCAGCTCGTCTGTGCTCGCCGGCTGGTCCGTGCTCGCAGAGGTGTCAAGAATGGGTGCTCACGTTTCGAGAACAGACTTTGAATGGGTGCACGACGACGAGCCACACGCCAGCCGACGGAAAGTGATTCTCAGTGAGTGGATGCCTTTTCTAGACCACAAGCACCTCTCGTCTGGTGTTCGCCGATCCACCGGGCGTGTTCGCAGTGTTCTCGTGCGTTCCGCTCCGTCTCTTCCACCTACTCCTCACGTCCAACCCTTCCGCAACCTCGTTCCGCGTATATCCAGCGCTTATCTACCTCATGCTTTCCCGCGATCTTCACAAAAGAGCGGTGCCGATCCTTGGCCTAAAGCCTTCGCCCGAGGAGTGGTCCCACCTGTGGTCTGTAGACTACCCATGTGGAATAGCTCGTTACAACCGCGTTGCTGTCAATCGATGTGAAAGATAAGGCTGCTACGTCGGTGTCGTAACCGCCACCTAGATGTCGCAAACGTGGTACCCATTAACAGCCGATATTTCGATCAATGGAGCTGTCGTCATAATCAAGCGCCGACACCCTCCGCCGGTATATGGAAATTATTACCAAAATAGATCGCCCAGTCATTTCACCTGTCTATATAATCGATCGTCACCCGAAATGTTACGGTATGGAGTGATAATGAACAGCACCAGTGCTTGATTCCAAGTTCCGTTAAAAAACAGTTGCAGTATGCGGCTGTTAACAGTATATGTTTCCTAATAATAAAGAAAATATTGATCCGGTCTTTGGTTTATCTTAACAATTTGCCTTTGTTTTCTTCTAGAATTGCCAAGAGCGCCTACGTGACTTTAATCGTGTAGTATGCGGAACCGCGCGTTGCGGCCGTTATCTTTTACCCGTAACGCGTGTAAGGTAAGGGCAACCAACCCGTGGGGCTGACACACAACACGTCGGTGCCTTGAGGAAAATTTCTGTACTCTGACGAAAGTGTGTCAAGACGGTCGACCGATGTCTTCAGCTTAGAACACGTACTTTTTTCTTTTTCTTTTTTTGGCCCGTTTTCTTTTTTTTTTTTTTCTTTCTTTTTAGATGGAAGTATTACGCACTTCTCTGACCTTGAATATCTTGACAGCTTCTGTTTCCGGCTTAATTTGTTATATGTTTTCACTTTTAAATGCGTGCCATTATTGTGCGCACACTGCAAGGGCGACCGGTCGAGTACACGCGGCCGTTATCGCGAGTAGCTTCAACTGTTTGTTTTGGGCTTCCGCAGTCGTCCTTTTAAACTCTACTAGATTTGTTATTTATTCTTTGAAGTGGAGAGAAGGAATGGAGCTACAAATCTTGCCGTTCCTTGTAGAGGGTGCCAAGTGTTATGGAACCAGTTTGTGGCACACCTAAGCCAATTTCAGCAAGCCTGTATTAGTGAAGGTCAAATTCTCGCACACCGATGACTTCTTTGGAGCTGTTCGCTCACAGGGGGCCTCACTTTTGTGAGTACAGAAAGGCTGGACCTTTTATAGGACCGAACTTTAATTACACGGCCGAAACTGACTCAAGTTTAATGTACAAAAGGACGCCTGGAAGTTAGAATTTAAGGGGGAGACCGTTTGTTAAAAGTTGCCGAGTTGTATGAAAGCAGAAACTGGTGTTTTGGTTGAAGTTACAATACAGATTGAACAAACATGTACCTTAAAATTTTTTCTGAGAAATATTAAAAAAAAAAAACAAGGATTGAGAAAAGAAAAAAAGATGGTTTAGTTGCGACGTGCATGACTGCCTGTTTTAGTTTTAGGAAAAAGTAGACAGATCCAGCAACTTTCTTTATGGTGGCTTCTCCAAACCCACGTCCGTTCTAAAAGTGATCCAATAGGCTGACCTCTTTGTCAGCATCGTGCCTCCCATGCCAACGTTGTCTCGTGCTTCATTTTGTCCCTAGACAAAACTCTTTCCTTCTAAAGGCCAAAAAGCATTACATGGTGCACTGCACAAACAAAATAAAATACTAAGGTGAATTTGATAAAACAGCAAATTAATTATGCCACACAACTTGCTACCACAAATAACAAGCTCAGTAATGAAAACGATGAGACAATGTAGTGAAAATAAATTAACACAAACACCTAGAAAATAAAAAAAAAGGGAGGCACATTACATTACTTATTTTTTCATGTTGTAATTAACTACTTTTTTTTTTTGTGGCCAAATTTATATTTGTTATTATCTGTGCATAGGCATAGAATAAAGCTAAATATTTTTTAATGTTTCTGAGCACAAAGAAAGTGCACACGAGGTTTTAAGAAAGCCACAAAAAAACAAATGTCTTGAAGTCATCCGCCATCTTGGGCTGGCCGAGACACTTCCTGGAGAGCGTCCAGGTTGTGCATTGGGTTGCGTCGTTGCCCAAGAGTAAACTAGCGACAGTGGGTGGTGACAGCTCGTTAGAACATCACGGCTCTCCAGCATAGAAGCAAGAAAAGCAGACGGCAGCAACGCTCCAGACAGTTGGGTTTCTCAAGCAACGCTACCAGTACCTGTCGTTGCTCCGTTTGCACACAAAGTGTGATCCATTAGGACGTCCAATTTCCTGCATTACTATTTGTGAATGTAATAACATGGAATTTATTCGATTGAAAACAAATTGCCATTTATTCGTTTCTATACTTCTGTGTAGGCTTCGCTCGCATGTCTGTAGCGTGTTATGAATTTGAAATTATAAAGCGCAAGGGACAGACACGGACATGAAGTAGACAGGACAGCGCTATACTCACAACTGGGGTTTTAATAGAAAACTATGGAAGAGAAGAAAGAAGTGATGGAAGTTATGTGGAAGACAAGAAGGACGAAAATAAAAGAATGAAATTAAAGAAGTAGGAGAATAGTAGCAATTGTAGATATAAATTAATACGTTGAAATAAGTGAAGAATAAAAATTACAAAATAAAAAAATTATTATTAAAGGCATTAAAATATGTAACTCTTAACATTATTTCAACACGACTTTGAAGGATGAAGTTTGAGATGATCATCCACCTAACTAGAAGCCTTCTGACACCTCATGTAGTGTGGTGGAGGTATAATAGTGCTTTGTCTGACAAGGACACACGAATTGCACCGATGCAGACATTACCACAAGTCTTGATTGTCCTCACCTCAAAAAAGTTATCTTTACCTTTGATTATGGTACTGTCCAAGGTCTGTCTTTTTGAAGATTGGTGTGCAGTGGCAGTCACAGACGTGTATTAAAAGAAAAATTTAGAAAATATTAATTTTTTAATTTTAATTTTTGTTATTTCTACATAATGATTCATATCTACAATTTCTATGCTTCTCATACTTCTTTAATTTCCTTCTTTTATTTTCGTCCTTTTTGTCTTCCGTATAACGCCTATCGCTTCTCTTTTCTCTTCCATAATTTTCTATTAAAGCACCAGTTGTGAGTATAATGCTGTCCTGTCTACTTCATTTATGTGTCTGTCCCTTGCGCTTTATAATTTAAATATGTTGAACCAACTAGCCCTGCTCAATATTTTAGTGTTATGAATTATGTGAGGAAGCTGATCAGTTATGGTGAAAATCTAGGAAAAAGATTTGAATATAGAAAATTTACATTGAAATTAATCAATGAATGTTTGAATATTCAAATTAATATTCAAATAATTCATTTTTCACTATTATATTTACTTATTCAAATGAACAAGTGAATATTTGTTTTATTTCAAATACTGATGTAGCGGCAAAGGATCCCAGTGATGTAGAAGCTTGCAAAGGGAAAATTGGGTTGTGGTGATCTGTCTGGTAGGAATCGAGCTCGAGTTGATAAAAAAAGCCCGTGGAAGTTTGAGTCCGTCCGTTAAAGTCTACCTATCAAAAACAGGCTTAGGCAGTAGAACTCCATTGTGGTTGTTTCTGAAGACGTAATGACTGGAATATGGCACTTTTATAGACAACATACATTAGGTGGAAATGTGAGGGGCCAGTGCTGAAGTCCATCTTCTTGCCCGGCAGGGATCAGCTTTCTTTGATAAGGACTGTGATGTCTGGGAGATACAGTTGCTTTCTTGCGATAGAGGAGTGCTTGGCTTTGTACAATAAAAACGCTTGGCAGCTTGGGCTGCCAAGCCACGCACTTGCGTTTGTGCGGGACGAGGTGCGTCATGCTCCCTCGTGAGATCACTTGTGATGAGAGAACAGAGTGGCGCCATCTGTCGGGCGGTCCTGAAACACTTCCGAGCCTTTAGCAAGGCTAAAGGCCGGTTCACACACTTGAGACAACTTATGACCTAGTGCCTTAGAGGGACACTGACCAGATATTTGTGCCCTGCAGGGTTTTTATTTGTACATGACATATGAGAGCTTAAGTACCCAGAAAACAGTTTGCAGCTCGAAATTCATTCTCTTTCCGCCCAAAACCCGCCGATCGAGAACTGTCCGGTTTGAGTCGTGTTCACTCTTCTCCCTGGTCGCGTGCCATTTTCTATGGTTTAGACACAACGACCAAACATGATCAAAGTCGTGGGTCATTGAAGGCACACACACAATATTAAAAAAAAAAGAAAAGAAATACGATACCCATTTCTTGTAGCTTCTAAAAAACTGCAAATACCGCGATTGAAAAAAAAAGTAGCAAAGCCACGTGACTTCCGCCAACTCTCTCCTCCTCTATATTTCTTCTTCCTCCCCAGTCCAGTTTCAGTTTCGGTCTCAAATAGTTGCTTTTTTTTACTTTTTTAAAAATATATGTGACGCTGTAGCAAAATATTGATTGGGTAGTCTTTTAACACCATAATCCCCCGGCCAAAAATAAAAAAATAAATTTTGGTGTGTTTCAGTGTTCCTTTAAAACCTCTTAAAATCTATGCGGAGCCCAAATTCGTCTGCTTCTTGCACAGGGGTTGCAATAATCTCAGAACGCCGAGCTCTTATTCGCTGATTGAAAAAAACAGTTGGTAGATTCCAAGGCATCTAGCATTGAGCCACTATCCTTTCAGTCAAAGCCAATAGACCGATCTCACCAAGCGTTTGGCGCTTGCGCAAGGCAGTCATAACTCTAGTTCACAGGAGGCATTCGGCAGTGCACGAGACTGTTCGTGCCCTGCACGCGCAGAGTTCCAGCGAGGTTGCCGCACGCGCAGAAAGACTGAAGTTCCCTCGATGCATTGCGGCAGCGGTAGCGTAGTCAGACTGGCTGGTGAGATCGGTCTATTAAAGCTCAGCATTGTTGTGACGTCACCGCAACTCCTGCACAAGCAGCAGACGATTTGCTCTCCACATTACAATGAGGGAACACACGCGCCATCTTTTGGGCAGCCATGGGACACTCCCATTATCATGTATTTCCTTCTTTTTTTGTGTGTGTGCCATTCTTTCTTTTTTGGCTTGAAAGACTCTTGGCATTGTTATGAACGAATGTTTCTCATAGACGTTTGATCATGCAAATGCCGAAAAAACCTTTGCCCTAGCGAAATGCAGTTCCAGGTCCACCTCGTAGATGGTGCTGGCGTGCCAGTGCATTCTCCCATCACAAGAGATCGCAAGAACTTGATCGTAAACGGGCACAAGTGCGCGTAGGGCCTTGAAGGGGTACTCCGAGGTTTTCTTTGTGGTCCCCGATTTGCTTTAAAAGTTGCTAAACACACCAACAAACATAACTAAAATAGCGTCCCAAATATTAGGCTAAAATTATGTTTTTTCACAAACTTATCGTATTTACTATTTTTGTCCTCAGCGGTTTTTTCAAACGGAAAGTCTTCTATTGGCAATAATGAAAAACTGACGTCAGCAGCAGGCCAAAGGAGGGGGGGGAGGGGGGTCACTCTCTGAACTTTAATTTTGTTCCCAACTGATGACGAGCAGTTTCGTGGTATCGATTACATGCTTTGGAAGCCCGCGCAGCAACACAAAACAAATGCTCGGCATAGTCTATTTGTTTAACTGCAAAGTGAGTGGCGGCAAACCGGCTGCCTAGAACGCGACAGTACAACTTGCGCCATCTAGGGGCAAAAACATTGCCTGGAAGATAGCACACTGACTCTGCTACCATCCTCTCCACTCTTCTTTTCCCTTTCGACTTTTCTTTTTTTTTTTCGCTCATCGGTCACACTTCTCGCTTATTCGTTCGCTCAGACGCCCGGAGCACGTTACAGTAGCCGAGGCTACAGCTGCGCCGGCCTGGCCTCACTAGGTAACACGAGCCACCACCCGATTCACCAGAGTAAACAGGAAGATCTTGAACAGCCACATTTTCTTCTTTCCTAACGGTCAGAAAATTTAATCGAAATACTCGGGGGAAAGCCTGGAAAAGTCGGGGAGTTTGGGAAAGGCAATGTGGTAGACACCCCCAAGAGCGACGAGGCACCATTCAATTCAAACAATTATTTATGTGCCTTTCGTACTTGCAAACAAAACGGGCGAACGACACGTCTAATCTCTTTGCCCCCGTTGTGGTCCACGCAGAGAAGTATCCGGAGATCCGGCAGCTGATGCGGCCGGATCCCTGGTTCAAGTGGCAGGTGACGGCCATGGTGTTCACCCAGTTCCTCATGTTCTTCCTGCTGAGGAACGCCAGCTGGCCCACCCTCCTCCTCGCGGCCTACTTCTTCGGCGGCGTCATTAACCATGCCCTCATGCTGGCCCTCCATGAGATTGCCCACAACCAAGCCTTTGGACACGGCGTGTTTCTCCCCAACCGGCTCTTCGGCATCTTTGCAAACCTGCCCGTGGGCCTGCCGGCGTCGATATCCTTCCGCAAGTACCACCTGGAGCACCATCGGTACCAGGTGGGTGATGTCCCAATTCTTCCGAGCGAGGCCAACAAAAAATCCGAAAAGTGCTCGCCATTGGCGACATGCGCAGCCAAAAGCGTCGTTGCGTTCAACTTTCCGCAATTGGCTGAACCCTCACAACGATGCCTTAAAACGGATTAATTCTGCTTTCGTCGACGGAAGTAAGGGTAACGTCGTAGAGTCGACGTCAGAAGTGTTGGTTTCGGGATGCGACCACTCCGCGCTTTTTATTACGCGCGCTGACGACTCTCAACTCGTGACGCCACGGCGGAGCAAATCCCGGTAGTTACATCATGTAAAGAAGCGTAAGAGGGCACCGCCAAAAACTCTCGGCTCAGTCGTCGCCAGCCAGAAGAGAAAGGCAGGAAGGTCTTCCAGTTGCCTTTCTAAGCTACGAGAACCCTTCGGGATCTCCCGAGCTTAGGGTGTGCACGTGCAGCCAGAATGCGGCGCCGACATGGGGCGTTCCCACCTCGCAGGGCATACCGAGCAAGGACGCGGACTTGCCGACAGAGCTGGAGGCGAAGCTGTTCTGCTACACGGGCACCAAGCTGCTCTGGATCATCCTGCAGCCCTTCTTCTACGCCTTGCGCCCGGTGCTTGTCTACCCCAAGCCGGTCACCGGCCTGGAGGTGGTCAATTTCCTTGTCCAGCTGGCCTTCGACGTCCTCATCTACAAGTTCTGCGGTGAGCCCACTCCCCAAATGACTCCACTACTAGATCTCCGCAGTGTCTTGCAACGAGTGCGACGCCGAGAAGAAGTGTCTGCTGCTTTGCAGCATCTCTCAATGAGCTTCCATACGTTTGCCGCTCGCGGCGGGTAGGGGACACTCCGACAACGACGTCTCGCAGCCGGTTCGAGACACCAATCTACGCTTCTGGCCACGACATAGGCCAAAGGCAGGTTCACGCATTTGCATTTGAGTGTGCTCGGGTCCGTTGCGTTTCGTTTCAACCGCCTAATTGCCGGCATGCTGCCGTCATCTATTTGGCAGCCCTGGAACACATCCGACCTGCGTATACATTGTTGTAATTTTTGTTGCGTCGCACTTTTACCGTGGGCTCGAAATACTTTTAGCGCCGTTGCCGGGGGCTTTTTCTCACTGAGCGTCCTTAGGTCTGATCTCACAAATATGGCAAAACCTTCAGTCTAGTGGCGCGAGGGTCGGATGTGTTCTAGGGCTCCCAGTAGAATGGTGCCAGTGTGTTCAGCGGTTAAAGGAAATGCAACATACACAAAGCACGCACAAATGTAAATATGCAAACCAGTCTTAACACAAAGCCTTCAATAGGAAGAGAAGCGAATAGAGTCATCGGTTGCCTTGGGTCGTTATCGCGGCGTAAAAAAAGGGCCAACCTGCCGCACGAATGGTTGCCCGTTAGCAGACGATGCCAAAGGTGGCGCCACCTGCTATTCTCTGTTTCACCTTACAATAGAACGCAGTAAGTGCTACGAACCATCTCAGCCAATACAGCGGTTCAAATGCATCACATGACTATGTTCGGCTGCGACCTTTGCAAAGGTCCCGTGACACTCGCGCGGCGTTGGATTAGCTTTGATGGCTCGTAGCGTCCGCTGTGGTCCATCGAAAGCCAAAACGAAGTGTAGCTTCCACATTGCGAAGCTGCGACCAATTTATGAGGGAAAATTGGCTAGAAGCTGCACCAACAAGTAGTAATGAGCCGATTGGCTCATTCAAGAAGTTACTGTAAAAAAATATGGCTTAACAATACTTGACGTTTGCCAGTCGTGTCGACGTAGGTGCGAGACTGAGACAGTGTGTGGTATACAGCAAGCAAGTTTGTCTGCTTCTAACACAGAAAGTGGCACCACGGCACTGATTTGCAATTGGAGGATACAGTGGGAATGCGGAGCGCAAGTTCGTCTGCTTCTTGCACAGGTTTTACGGTGGCGCCAAAACGCCGAGCTCTATTTGGCTCCGATTGGAAGGATAGTGGGTAGACCTCAAGGCAGCTAGCATTGAGGTCTGCCAACTATACTTCCAATCAGAGCCAATCAGAGCTCTCCGTTCAGACGTCAATGGCAACCCCTGCGCAAGAAGCGGATGAAATTGCGCTCCGCATACAAACGTGGGACCGTCTGCTACTGTACAAACGGCTGCCTTGATTTTCTGTGCCGTCGTCAGGAAACCGCCGGTGCTTTATGAACGAGGATTCGGCTTTCCACAACGGGAAAGGGAGATACGTCGAAGGATACGTCATTTTGAACAACTAAAAACCACGTGGGGGGCACTACGTTAAACAAAGAACTCACGACCGAGGCACGGTTTGTCTGCCCCCTAAAGGGATGCCGTCTGCCTTGCCGCGCACACGATCAATTCCTCACTTTTTTCGTGCCTAACCTCTCGTACGTAGACGAATGCATTTCGGTAAACTCAGTCGCTGTACGTAGGCATGCACGGTTTGCCATGCTTTCGCTCTTTAAGACAAGTTAATGCGTGTCTTTGCGTGTGGCGGGTGCAGGTGGCAGGGTGCTCTTCTACATGATTGGGGGCTCCCTGATGGCCATGGGACTGCACCCGGTGGCGGGCCACTTTGTCTCGGAGCACTACATGTTCAAGAAGGGCTACGAGACCTACTCATACTACGGCTGCCTCAACTGGGTCACCTTCAACGTGGGCTACCATATGGAGCACCACGACTTCCCCGGTGTGCCCGGCTCCAAGCTTCCCCTGGTGAGTGAGCATGCTCGTCCTCCACATGATTGCCCCCGCTCTGTGATCCAGATCGTTCTGTCTTCGAAGCGATCGCGAAACATTCCCTTTCGCTTCGGCTGTGATGCCTGGAACACACCTTCCGCCGGTGCATTTAGCGTCCTATCCCATCCATGCGCTGAAAGTGCCGTTGCCAATGTAGCAGTTTTCCCGCCAAATTTAGCGCTTTTCTGAGTTATCCGGCGGGAGAAGCTGTCGTTTTGCGATTGGCGGGAATTTCGGCGGTTTTCGGGTCGTGTTGGCGTAATTTCCAGCTGTCTAAAACATTCTCCGGTTTAACATTTGATAGAAAATAGCTTAATTTCAGTGGTAAGTTGGAGTCGTGGGGTCTTCATTTTTGCTCACTCTCGACAAAAGTATTGTCGCGAGCGTCGACAAGATTGTCGATGCTCGGGAAGGTATTACGGGGGCAAGCCTCAAAGCACGGTGTAGAAAAGGCCATTTTCAGCCCATGCCTTAAATTTAGCAGTTTCTAGCGGTTTCACGGGGTTCCTTTGGCAACATTTGAGGATGCAGTAGACATACCAGTCGAGGACGCGTCGCAGGCATTTTACTTCAGCTAACTAGCCCCCGGGAACGGGGGCTAGTTACCCGAAGCTGTACCGCACCGTCCTCAGCTAAATTTAGAGGGCTCGTGTCTTTATAAATCTATTGGACCTTGGCGCTTGACACGGTCACGTGGCCAGTTTCTCCCAATTTTAGGAAGCATTTCGCACTTCGGCACCCTCATTGTGTGACTATGAGTGCCTCTTTCCACATTCGAGGAAGCAACTTGATAAAAAGAATTTACTGTCTCCCTGGCATTTCCTAAAGGCGTTCTAAATAAAGTGCGATCCACTTATCACGATACCACATGACTATGTACTGCTTATAATGATCAGTTTCTAGTCCAGACACAGCAATTATCGGTTATAACGATTGGATTTTGGGGTTTTCTCACTATCGCTATCAGTGAATTGCACTGTAGGTAGACTGCATTTAAGATGCCTTTGCTCGAGTCTACCCTAAACCACAGTCTGTTTACGCTCATTATATATTGCACCAGAAGGGCGGTCCCTGAACCGGTGCTTGGATTGACGGGCGGCCGCTGCGTGATGGCGACTAACTTACTGTAGCTGCCGGACCCACCGCGCTCATTTTGCAGCTGCATCCTTTGTTGGTCCCCTTCCAGCTTGCTGTGCCAGCCATTGTCACTCCTGCGCCGCTTCAGTGATGCAGGAGACTCTCATTAATTCACACTCGAGGAAGTCACGAATTTTGTCTGAATTATCAAAAGTTTGAATGATCAGAAATTTACCTAAATATGATGCAAGACAGAACTATAATTTACCGTATGAATGGCTACACATACAAAGCAGATATTTGATGATTTCTTCTACATAGGGCTACTGATCATAAGCAGGTATGCCACATATGAAACGTTTGTAAAATGTATGACATAAGTTTATTTATCCCTCAAAAATGTTCTTTATCGTGGACTGCTTAGACAGCACATGACAACTCAAAACAAAAGTGTTAAACTACTTCTATACCAGTCGTTATTTTGTTCTCATCTGAACAGGACAGCCACAGGATCGAAACATCAGAAAATACATCTCTTGCAAAAAAAACTCTCTAAGAATCACCTGCCATGTCAATTATGGCTTTCACACAGGAACTCTTTTTCGCAATCGCAATGCCATGACAATCTTCACATTCTACAACTTTAAGTTATGCATCAAATATGAAGTAGAATGCAGAGAAAACAGACTGTTCCATCTCTCTAGCATCACCGCAGAAAAGAAGCTCAATTTATTCAACTCGTAATTCTGAACCCTGCTTCATTGAAAACTCACACTCCAATTATGGTCTTCAGAGAATCAAAATAAATTTCCCCAAGTTACTAAATAGCTTAATCTTAAACCACATAGGAACAATAACTCTTTCACCCAAAGACTTACGGTTTTATTTCTTGTGTAACGAGTGATATAGTTACACTAGAGTTGCTTTTGTATAGTATTTACTGTTTTGCTTGATTTTTTTGGTTTTGTATTCACTGTTCTCTTCATTAAATAATATTGTATAACTTTTTTTTTTCAATATGTATAAAAATGTGTAACCTGCGCGTGTACTCGCATTGCCGCTGCTGCTGAAACTTTTCTGGTGCTGGGAAGCCGCCAAGCTGTACATGCAGCTTTTTTTTTCCCAGCCCCCACCATTGTGAAAAAATGGTAAATAAACAAACATTGAATTGAACATTGAAAAGTAGCAAAAATAAACAAACGGTTCTGATTAGAAACATGCCGAGCGTCGTAAAAAACCGCTGAATCTGTCGATTTGAGAGGGACTTGGAGCGCGGTGGATCGCAAAAGTAGCCTCTCGTGCAGAACCAGCAAGGCTACCGGGGCAATAACGCACCCACACCGGTTCTTCCCTCTTTTATCATAGCCTCAGCCTCGTGCCTGTTGCAGTGATGCTCAGCAAGTTTCGAATTTGAACCATATATCTATTTTTACTAATTGAAAACTTAATTAACAAATTAGTTTATTATTCAACTTATTGCAACGTGTAGACCCCCTATATTATTTCCCGTTAGCCACATAACTCGCCCAAACAAAGCACATCAGTGTAGCTTCTTTGGCTTTTTTCAATAAATCTGTTAAGCTTAAAAAGAGATGTCCTGTATATGGACGTCTCTTTTGCTGCGACGCTTAGACACTGCACGCGTCGCAGCAGCTGGGCAAAGTCCTCTCCTCGCATCGGTTGCAAGCGTTGCCACCAGGTGACTCTTCGATAATCGGCTAGTGGTAGCCTGTCGCGGGCCCGGTTTTTCATGCTTCTCTATATGCGAGCTCGTCTTTAAAGTTTTTCTTTGGGCGTGCCATATCACGTAGAACTTGGCACTTGCTCTATGCGTGTTGCTTGGACAGCGCTCCTTCATTCGCCCAGTTTCGTGCCTCAATGGCGGCAAGAGCAGTTTTACAAACGCATCGAAGCGGAATGATCTCTGGCACCGCGTTCGAGCCAGCGTCCGTCCTGGTAAGAGCAGGTGCGCCGAGCGGAAAACGCACGTGCACACGACGCTTCGTTTCTTTCTTTTTCCTCAGTTGCGCCGTCTGGGCGGGGCAACTTCCTTCTCAGCTGCGTAACCCATGGGAATAGGCTACTCAGGCGCGCCAGTAAAACTATGTGGTCAATCGCGTCGCGGCGTTCGTTGTGCTGCGCATTCAGACCCACACGTATACCTTACACCGTGATCCAGGCAGAGCATGGTCCACCGGCGAAGACCGTCAGCTAAAGGAGTGCCGCCTTCTCTGTTGCAGGTGAAGAAGATAGCGGGGGAGTTCTACGACGACCTCCCCCAGCACAACTCGTGGGTCCAGGTGCTGTACGACTTCATCATGGACCCCGACATCGGGCCGTACGCACGCATCAAGCGGAGGGAAGCCGTCGCGCACGGCACCAACGGAGCGCCCCCGTCTTCCGGCGCCGGAGACAGCACCGAAGCGATTGCCGAGAGGCTCTTTGCCTCTGGCTTCGAGAAGCAGGACTGAGGCCGAGAGACTCCGGGGGCGTCTTTTTGTTTTTTCGTCGCCCTTAGTTAGAGACGGAATGTATGCGGGATCGGCCGAACCACCGTGCTCACTGGCAAGGGATTTGAGTCAACCGTGGTTGGCGCCGGGTCAGGAACACGGTGGAAACTCCGGCTGCAGCACGCGCTCTTTGCTTTCTGCCAGGCTTTCACTTTGAGTGTGATGAAGTGTTAGCAAAGGTGCTTGCGTTGGAGGCGGAGCATATACTGGGATCCTAACCCGTCACTGACTATAGGACACAGTGTGTGTGTCCGAGGAAATAGTAAAAGCAGTAAGGATAAACTACTTGGAGAGAGACTCGCAACTCTTTTAAAGGGCAACTCCGGTGGGAAATGAAACCAATATGAACGACCGGCGTCGCTTTAGCGGCACGAAACAGGATTACAGTCGTAATGTTACATCGGGGTGAAGCCGCATGTTCCTCAAAACCGATTTTCAAGGTGCGACCGGCTGCTCTTTAGCGGGTGGCATGCGGGTTAGCCGTGAGTCGAGCAACACTGGGCGACACGTACCGAAGCACCGCTGTGATGTCGCGTCGCTGCCATACAGCTGATGATCAGTGTTGCCGTCCCTCTCGACCAGATGGTTTCAGTTTTGCAATAGACGCCCAAAATCAAACTTTAAGCCGCAATATTTTGTTAAATCTACGCGGAATATGGAAAAAAAAAAATTATAACTTGTAATTCGGGGACACTGCCCATCTGAAAACAATCGTAATCACAGGTTACAAAATATTGACCAGAGTTGCCCTTTCACAAGCAACAACGGTGCAAGTCTCCGTCTCTGCAAGTGTTTTCTTCTTTACGTTTTTACTATGACCAGCGTCAAATTTGTTGTATGAGGATTTAGGCTGTGGGGAATGAGCCTGCCTTTCACAAGGCTTTCATCATCTCCAGTATTGATGAGCAATTTGGCCGGTGCAGTACGATACTGCTAACTCTAAAGTGGAACTCAACCAAATCTTTTTAAAGTCCTCCGCATCAATTTGATTTCACTTCATAAACTGTCAGCCACTCTAATTTATAAAAACAATTTATTTTTGCATGCTGTTTTCTTTTATTTATCATGTAATGTTTAGTGGACAACTTCGCTTTACTAGCAACGCTGGTAAATATACTCGTTCCCTAGGCATCGATGTCATCAGCGGGGCGGCAGTAAAGTCGAAGTTAGGGATGTGGTATTTTTAACTGGACACTTCATGGCACTGTTGGCACAAACGCGACATCGGCGCTTTGTCGCATTTTGCCGAGACTCAATGTTGACAGGCATTTAGCTTTTACGGCAGTCATTTGATTCTAAGAAAAAAAAAAAGTTACTTTTCTGCACTATGTGGCAAAATCGGTAACATGGAATGTATTGTTTGTCACTTTGCGGTGACGCTGCAGGTGAACTTGTTACTCGTCTTTTGCCTTGATGGCACGAGCATCGTCGTGCTCAGTATCTCTAAAAGAAAGCCCTGCCAAAGCTAGCGCCCCGACAGGAGAAGAACGCAAAGTTTGCGCCTCTTGCGGTAGTCGCACGTCCCATCTTTGACACTGCTATTTGTGATGACGCGGCAAAGCCGCTTTTTCCATGCGCGCTCTTTGCGCAGTCGATTCGGCGAAGAATGGACAACCGGAGGTACCCCAATTCGAGTGCTTCCACGCTTCATTCGGTGTCTTCTTATAGTGGTAAAATTTTCTGTGATGCTCGTGCACTACAGGAATGCGTGTTGCAGGGATGTGCATTACAGGAATGTGTGGTAGAGGATTACAAATGGCAGGATGCCGCTGGGAGCCAGCCCTACAACACATTCCGTGTTATAACTGGCAATCGCGGTGTCTGTGCTGTGCTAACAGTGTCTTGCCGTATAATGTCGCAACAGATTTACAGGCACTGAGACGCCATAAATGGTTTCTACTTTTTCATTACCCCCGCTTTCCTCGACTGCTTATTAGTGGAGGACTCTACTCGGTACAGCATTTTCTGGTTTACCATACTTGTGGCTTCGTAGAAGTTAGTAACTCTAAGTTATGTGCGTTTTGCTACGACGCAGAGTCGTGCCGTCGCGTGCAAGTGGAAGGAAGTCGGAGAGTTCCGACAGAGTGAGAGTTTGTGGGCGTCGTCGCGACCCTTCGGCAAAGACGACTCGTAGAAGAATGGCGCTCGTGGAAAGCTTGGGCAGTGTGTGTTCCGAGTGTGTGAGTACTCACTTCAGACATCGAGTAGATAGTATCCCATGAAAGTGTCCCATCTGCCAAGAACGAGTTGTGAATGTGGCTGAAAGAGAACCTGGGGTGGCCGCCAAACATGGTGCCCCTCCGCTCGTGTTGGGAATGGACTAGTTTGCGTGATGCTGTGAGTATGAATTGCATACGAATGTACAGGAAGTGACGAGCCAGTTTTGTCTGGTACAAAAGGCCAGGGTGCTAGCAAAGGTTGTCGCGCGATGTCGAGATCTAGGAAAGGTATTTTTCATTATATTAGATTTGTGGTTTCTGTCAGTTAGTTTTTTTCATACATTTTACACCTGTCTGGCATTTCGTTGAAACGGACCTTTACTACGTTTTTTCACGTGAATCCGGTAACTGTAAAGGGACCATGAAGCATTTTTTCTTCATTTTGCTAAACACCGTCTAGTCGTAAAAAGCTTCTTGTGAAAATGAATTTTTAAAAGATTGGCAGCCACCTTTGTCCTTAAACTTATCATTCATCAAATGCAGTATTAAAAAAAACCTAAAAAGGAAAAACTTTTTGGTTTTTTTAAGAGAGCTATTGTATAAATGTGTTTAGAAGACTGTAAACGGTCGTGATCATTTTCCTGTTGATTTTGGTGGGGAATTGGACGTCGCACGAGCACGTCACGGTGTCGAGTCGCGGCGTCATGCGACACCAATTTACCCGCTAAATTCAGCAGGCAAGTGCACGGACGAACGGACAGATGTACGAAGTTCTGGGGTGTCATTAAAAAGCATTCCCCGCTTCGGATAGTCCCCGTTTGCGGAATTTTACGGTGGAAAAAAAAGTTTCTAGTTCCTCGTCCTCGTGGGCGATACTTCAGTCGTGTCCCACTATACTCGTTGTCACATCAAGGAAAAAAGGAAGTTTTGCATATTATTTGTGCGAAGGAATTTTTACAAGATTTGGTCACCGAAAAAAAAGCAATGCTTTTGGCGTTTGGAACGCGTACAACTCGATAAAATAACATAAAGCTAATCTAAGCTGCACCTAGATATACTGTAAAACCCTTAATGTCCCCGAATTCCGCGAATTGAGAAATTCGCGAAATTTAAGGGCCCGCGACAATTCCTGTCTTTAAGGGGCGATACAACAATTTTTGTACTTTGCGCAAATACTGCTTGAAACGGATCCCTGATGTTAATGACCCATGAAACACGCGTTTGTTTTTCACCCCACGCAATAGAAGTTCCAGAAAAAAATTAAAGAAAAACGAGCACCGTTCACCCCCTCAACTCGCAGCAAGAACAAGCGGCCACGTGATCTGGAGCCGATTATATGCCGCCAATATTGATCATAGCCACGCGCTAGGATTGGCAAAGCACAGGACATGCGCCGAGTTTCAGACATTGTTATGGCTCGGCTATTGTCGTCGTTGCAGCGATCGGACACTGGCCACTACCCGAATGCATGTCGAGGCATCGATTGTCACGAGCCCAGATTGAATGTGTACGCAGTCTTCGCGTCCACTGTGTGAGCAGCATTTGAATATTGTCACAGCTGAGATCGCAAAGCTCGATGACGCATTCCTGGGGATCGTACTGTTGCCATTGTCCCCACAGCTCCGTCATCAAATTTCGCGAAGGAGCAAAAGGCGGTTTTGGAAGGAGAGATTAAAAGAAAAGTTCCGCTTTCATCCTTTGAATTCCGCCGCGATGAAGACGCTTCTTGGTCAGTGGTGTTGCGTTCGAGTATTCTTGGGTTCCACTAGTGCCAGGAGGCTGGTGTAAAGTAAATATTTCTACTAAATGTCGTTGCACAGCCCCTTTAAGTTTCAATGCAGGCATCTGGAATTTGCGAAATTTAATAGCTGTGATGATGTACTCTTTGACCGATTCGCGAAAAATTGCAGCCGCAATATTAAATGGTTCTACAGTATCTTCATTCGACGCTTGAAGGAGGAAATTCTTGATGTTCCCGAGAGGAGCCAGAGACTTTTAACGTGATCGCATTAACGAGCTCACGTCGCAGAGAAGCCGGCGTCGGTGGCATGCGCTAAAATCCACGATTGGTCGATAGGGTCATGACATCGCAGCCACATGACCTCGCGAGAGAAGTTCAAACAACCCACAAAGCTCGCGTCAAATGCGACGTCATTCATGGAATGGAAGTGATTAAAAAACGTGATATTTAATGTGAATTAAAGGCACATCTCAAATGATTTCACTTTATAAAGTAATTCACTTGCCCTAAAGAAAAATTTAAGATTTTTTAGGTGGGATTCGAACCCACGACTTTTAATTTGTGGGTTTGAATCCCACAAAAAATTCCTCTTGTAATTCTCACTGCGGGTCTTGATGTGAATACGAGTATAGGCGACGAGCAGTTAGTAAAACTCGTGCCGAATATCATTTCATGGTCCCGTTAACACATGTCGGAACTTTTCTGGAACGTGCGCTAAAGGTCTAAACGGTCGCTACGAGCACAATCGCGAGCCTACGGCACATTAATCCCATCTCCCAAAATACACCCGGTATCCCGTAAGCCCGGCAATACGACTTTCTCCTAATGCCAGTTGTGTCCGTTGCATCCTCCACGTGGTCTTGTAAATATTTGTACAGCTTGTCTGAAAAGACTTGTCGAAGAAACTCGGACCGCAATAAAGAACGATTGGTGACACTTTTAATTGCTTTTGTGGTTGTGTTAACTATATACAGGGACTGCTGCGCCGAGCTCAGTATCCATACTTGAGGTTCAGGTGGGTCTTCCCATCTCCCGATTGTCCTGCCGAAAAAACAAGTTTTTGGTGAAACGGTTTTCACTGAAATGGTTGAGATGCTGTTGCGATGTGTCTTTATAAGGGGGAGGACATTGCCTGGAAAGGTCTACTCTTTAAACTGCCATGTTTCCTCACATAATGAACACACCTTTTCCCCGAAAAATGTATGCATACTTGGGGGAGGGGGGGGGGGGGGAGTGGGGAGTAATATTGTGTATTTACACGTTTTGCATAGATGTCTGTTTAGATGCCGATCTTTGTTGACATCAATGCATCTGATGGACAAAACATCTCCGGGGGGCTAAGCGATTCCTTGACCACAGCTTCGTTGGCTGGGCGTGCCGCTGATTACTCCCACAAGAGAGAGAGAGAGAGACCTCCGACTTGAAGTTATAACGCGTGCGTTTGCTATCATGCTTGGCTTGGCTTCGCTCGACTTGACCTGGCTGGGTCGGACGCAGTTCAAGACTCGCAGAGCCAGAAAAACAAAATGGGAATGCATTCATTATGCACACGGAAAAAAAAAAAAAAAAAAAAAAAATTATGATTCTTGTAGGAGGGTGCATTCATTATGCGAGTAAATACGGTACTTCATCAATCTGAAAGAACTGCATGTGCAAAGTTTCAGCTCTATAAATAAATCCGGGGGGGACTAATGAGGAATTGCATGTCCCGCCACAAAGTAAAAAGAGTTCAGAAATTCTGTTTTTAAATAGTTCTGATAAATGACTGTTTTATCTGGCAAAATACCTACTAGAAACCTATAGCAGCTTACCACAAAAAGAAGTGGCACAAATTTCAATTGTGCTTCAGCATACCTGCCAACTCTTCCTAATTTTTCGTGTGTATGAATTGGAACTTATTTTACAAATCTTGCTTCAAATGTTACAAAAAAAAAACTGTTTTTATTTATTTATATTTTTTTGTAAATCTGTTATTGGCAGTATCTTGCACCGCCACAAGAGGGCAATAGGTACCGTTCACGGCAGCGTCGTGGTTTTTACTCTCCGTCTATTCGGTGGCCACAGACTGAAAACCAATCCAAACCTCAAAGCCTTTGTTCATGTGTTCGGCGGCGCACGTTGGTTCAGCGTGTTCAAACGTTGGGCCTCGTTGTTTCGGCCGGTTTCAAGGCGAGAAGTACGGCGTCTGTGTTTATTGCACGTGTAACCATAGCATTCCCCTGGTCGCTGTGGCTTCACGGGGCAATGGCGAACTTCAAACTTTCAGGTGTTCCTGAATTCCTACACGTCGGAATTTCCGTGCTTCGTGCCGCCGAAAAAGCGAGAGAAGTTTGGATTCTGTAGCACGTGCACGTGTGATGTAAGCGTTTCGCACGGTGGCCAGGCCGACATGAAGCTGCACATCGCTTCGCGTAACCCCCCCCCCCAGCGGCCGTGGGACTTATACGAATTTGAAAGTCCACAGGTTGGCAGGTATGCTTCTGCAAGGAAAAACTTTTCACATGTTTAGCAGGCTTTTTTTTTTTATTCCTAATATTTGTAGTAAAGATATAAGAACAATCAGAATCCAAGTTCATAGCAACTGGCTCCATAATATTTTAGTTAATAAACAACCATATCAAGGTCTCTAGCTAGCTTCTTACTGAAACTATAGTTTCCTAGATGTGAAATCTGCTGCCAAAGAATTAAACTGATAAATGTGTTTGAAAGCTCAACAAGTTCAGTTTTAGGTGGTATGCTGAAAATAAGAAATTTTGTAAAAAAAAAACAACAAATGCTTCAGTCGCAGGAATCGAACATTCTGACAGCATTCCTCGGGAGTTCCGCAAGCCCCAATCTACACGGCGGGACCACGAAACCAGGGCATCACCACCTGCCACGATTGGCCAGCTCCACATCGCTGACCAATCCCAGAAGGCAGCCATGTCCCGGTGCCTTGGTCTTGCTTGGTACTGCCGTGTAGATTAAAACCCTCGGCATAACTACCGTAAAATATCAAGGGAGTGCCAATCCCACTTTCACTGAAAACTGGGTTAATCTAGGCATAAACGTCTGTCCGGCAAGATCAGACGCTTAACGTATGATTTGCAGAATTCCGAAGTTTATGAAATGTTAATAGTGGGGGTACTTGAACAAAGCGGGCGCTTCTGCAGTACTTTACGATATGCATTTTTCCAGAAACTCGACTTATGAAAGAGAATTGCAGTTTTGCAGCACCGTTTTTACCTTCTGGGGGCAGCCAGCCGACGTAGTCCTCTGCTTTCTCCGTGCAGGACTTCCTTGCTTCCTTTTTCTTCTGCAAAAATATTGGGCGTCTGCTGTAACCACCCGACTGCCATCGAGGCTTTCTCGCTGGCGTTGCCTTCGGGAATTAATGGGCACCGCTTGTTCGAACCATTGTCAATAAGCCCCTTTAGAAAACTGGCCCTCCAAAGATCCTGCGCAGTGGCGACGATGAAACACGACGTAGACGTTTTGGAAGTATACTCTGTCTTGTCCTATGACAGTCTACGGCCGGAGAACGGGCCGCAAGCTGCTTCGAAACTGTTACTCTGACACTTTGTATCGAAGCGACGCAGTGACACGTATCCTGCCCGTGACTGGAGCTGGCGGCCCGTAGTTTATTATAGGACAAGGCGAAACACAGAAAAGCCATAAACTCAGCTTTTGCATTTTATGTAGTTTCTTCTGTTGTGTAGTACATACATACTATGTTAACACTTCCTACGATACTGTCTCTAATTTTTGAGAAGACGGCGGCCGAGATAGCTCGGAAATGTTTCGAGCCAGGTCCTTTGTCTGTTTGCCTTTCTGAGCCGTCGCGATTGCCGATTGCGCCCGCCCCGCGCCGGGCACGAAAATGGCGGTTCCTACCAGAAAATCGGGGAACGAAGCACAGACCCTCCAAGCATAGCTAATGAGTGGCTCCAGGTGAGACCAAGTCTATAGACAATTTTCGTTTCCTTTTGTTCTCAGTCACATGGGTTCCGTGTCTGCTATGTGGGACGAAAAAATAACGGAACATTTCGACCTGGAATATGCGAGAAAATGTAGGCAAGGCAAAACAAAAATGCGTGACAATCGCGCATTTTTTGTTAACATTTTCCAGCAATGTGGAGAGATCAAAATGTTTTAACGCACACCAGAAGTGACGACACTCAAGATGGCTGCGCTGTTGTGGAAAAGATGTACTATAGAAATGCTACAAATTCTGGCTCTTTGTCATGCTGCATAGTTTTTGTTATCATGCAGTGTGTCCACAAAAAGGGTTTTTATCAATTTGGTTTCTTGTCGACATGAAGGTGATTATAATAATAGAGGTCTTCATTATTATTACAATTACTAATATTACTATTATTATTTTATTATCAAGAAGTCAAGAGAGCCCACCTTTTTTTCGCTGGCTTTCTTGGAACTCTCTTGGTCTTTCTTTACAAACTCGAGCACGCTGCTTGGAGGTCTTGCGGGGCCTGAAATAAGATGAGTAATGCTTCGTTGCAGTCGTCTGATCTACTGAACTTCAACTCCTCCATCAAAGGTGGTCTCTTGTCGAGCAAAAACCCACAGAAAAGAATCCCGGTGCCAAACATGCTTTTCTTCTAGGGAAGTAACGTAACGAAAACCAAAACTGTACCCGTCCTCGCAATAATGCGGTTGCACACTGCGACGTAAGGCAGGTTTTGATAACTGACTGGAGTTGTTCACTTTGGTCTTTTATGATGTCCTACTTTTAAACTAACAAACAAAATGCTTCGTAAAAATTTTTTTTTATTCCCTGCCTCGTATTTCCTGTTTTTAACTATGCTCTGGCTCCGAGTCGAAGCTGAAAAATTTATGGCCTCTAGAGCGAACCAGCTGCAGCCAATACCAGATCAGACACCAAAGGACACCACCGCTTATCTGTATTAATATGCTCTAATGCAGTTAGAGGCTCTCAATGACCTTACTGCCCTTATACATTGCCTTCCTTTTTTGTAGGCATAAGGTGATGGCTCTCATCCAACCCTAGAAAATTGACACAAAATTGCCAGACAATGGACATTATTAAATGATCGACTAAAATAAGGACTTCACAAATGCACATGCAAAGTGCCACTTGTTTTAGGTGCTTGCTTTAGAAATATTACTGCTGCACATGTCGGCACATGCAGCACGTGTAGCTACGCTCGTATCTTGCTCCTTGGTGCTGGGGTGATTTTTTAAAAAGGACGACTGGGTCGGGAAAAGACAACTGCAGGATACGGTGGCTTGCTACGTCTTGCAGCGTGCTTTACGTCGCAAGCTTTCATTTCAGACGGTGTGAATTCCCATTGCGCTACTCACCTATGACTGCGGGCTTGTCGTCCTCGTCCATGGCATCTCCCGTTTCGGCTACGGATTCGGATTCCGTGCAGGCTGTCTGGTCGTCTTTGCTTCCCGACTCGGCAGGTTGTTGTGGTTGACTTTGCTCACCGCCCTCTTTTCCAGCAGCGGCATCGCCATCGTCGTCGTCATCCTCCTCTTCTTCTTCCTCAACCACGTTGTCTTGTCCAAGTTGGAACGGAGTCACCATGGTTGGCGTGGAAACTGGAGTCTAAACCGAGATCGAAACCCCAACTCAGCAATATTGATGAAACATCTATTACTATAGTATAACCTTAGTCCCTATAGCTTCATAATTTTGAATACCGTATTTACTCGAATGTAACGCGACCACGATTGTAACGCAAGAAATCAATTTTCACAGCGCAAAAAAAAATAAAAAAAAGAATATGAATTGTAACGCGAGTAAAGTGAGGGAAAAAAGTACCTTTATTTGTTGCACATAGTGGCCAACACCTGCCAGTTTCTAAAAATAAAATGAACTTTGCTCACTCGACGCTTTCGCCATCGGTGATCAAGTGCTCCCCCCAAATTTCACTCGTCGCTTTCTCCCGCGGTATCCCCAACTCTCGAGCTATGTCTCGGGCTTTCCATTGTATCAGCCCGATGCTGACCCCCAAGAGGCGGTTTTCCTGCTCAATTACGAACACCGCCACTTTTTTTTCTAGTTGTGTGTGACGGCCACAACGAGGTCTGCGGAAGCCTTTTCGGCCGGGCTCACACTTGAAGAGCGCTTCACGCTGGAGCCTCCACCCACAGATAGTCGATTCTGTCACATCTAGCCGTCGAGCCGCGGCAGAGTTTCCGATTTACTCAGCCATCAGAATTGCACTTCTTTTAAGGCAGGCATCGTACTGAGCTCGTCGCATTGCCACTTGCTCGAGTCATAAGTCGCGGAAGCACAAAATAGCAGCTTGTAAAACACGGGCACACGGGTGCAATGAGTCGCAAACAAGAATTGGATTAGATTGGATGTTGCCAGCGTGTATATGTTGCCAGCACAAGATTGAAAGATCGCGAGATTTGTCGTAGCCATTTTAAAGAGTCTGTGTCGCGACACCGCCAAGGCAGATTTTGAGGCGTTTCGATTATAACGCGAACTTCAAATTAGGTGAGGGAAATTATGAAAAAAACTCGCGTTACATTTGAGTAAATACGGTAATCGATATACATAGAATCGGCAGCTTATGTAAGACGCTGTGGAATCTTCCTAACAGCCAATTAGGGTCAATGTGCAAAACAGTTTTCTGTGTGGCAGAAAATTTTTTCCTCCTCGACCGAAAAAAGAAGATCTGGGAGCTGATCCCTGCAGAAAGGAGGAGAGGTGTCCTCCTTTCTAGCTCCAAGTGGAGCTGCAAGTACTGTGAAGCAATCCTTTTTATAGCAATGTACACAGTTGGGCACGTTGGCATAGATTGAACATAGTTACAGTTGTGCACAAAAGGACTGGGACAGAGAAGAGGAACACATAGACAAACAAGCGCACACTCGCAACTCATGTATTGAGGAAAGATGAAAAGAAAGAGGTACAGAAAGCAGAATCAGCTCGAGCATTGGCCGCGCAGGCTCGAAGGCCTGCAAGCTTGAGGGGACACGTAAAATTAACCACACGTAGAAGAATTTAAAAAAGGCCATTTCCTCCTTTGTTAATGAAACAGACGGAAAGCTGGCGCATCGCACTCCCCATGCTGAGGATAATAAAAGCTTCAAAAATCTCTCTGGTATGTTTTTCCCAATATCTGCCTATTATCTTTGTTTTTGCTGCGTCGTGTGGTTTGTAGCAGGTGCCCCGGTGTTTATCACTCATTTTTGATAAAGTTTTGCTCTGGCATCCTCAAAGATAGCCCACCCCACATTTTTCACCATTCATCTCTTCATTTTGGGTGGGCGCTCTTTCGGAACTCTACGGTAGTTCTATAAATATCACGTCTCAAAGTTCGTTCCCGGCATCTATGGCAAAACTGAAACTAACTGTTAGAGGGGTAGGAACACTGATCATCGGCCGTATGGCCGCGATGCGATGTCGCCGTAATGCTGCAGTACAGGGTGCAACCAATCAACCGCAGCTACACCGCGACATGACGTCACGAGGGTGCTGCGCCAGTGTTCCAAAACTAAAAGCTAACCCGCTTGCTGCCTGCTAAAGAGCAGCTGGTTGCACCCTGAAAATCTCTTAGTGGAGCATGCGGCTTCACTTCGACGTAATATTTCGGCCGCGATCATACTTTGTGCCACTAAAGCGATACTTGTAATTTATTTTGGTTTCGTTTTCGACTGGAGTTCCACTTCAAGTAACTCCTCGGTTGTTCTACGTTGTTCGGCTAGTTGCCCGCTCCCACTGTGCGTACGAGTTCGCACCAACATCGGACGAAAGGGAAACGCTCACCGGTTTCTTTCTGCGCGACGGATGACCCTTCATGCTTCCCGTCATCGGCAGCAGCTTCTTGGCCGCCGCGTCGCTCTTGCTCTGGGACTTGAGCAAAGCGCTGAAAACGGTCAAAAGGAAAGTTTGTCAAACAGACCGTAGCAGCTGAGCCGTCGACCTGTACGCCTGGAACGCGTCTGCCACCGTTTACCGCGTCCCCATTTGCAGTCCCTCAATTTTCGCCCAACAACGTCGTAAAAGTGTCACGCCATTGGCGGCACGGCGGCAGTGGCAGATGCAGCAGACGCTCATTCCGACGCAAGTCACTCTGCGGCCAGACGGTCGACGGAAACCAAAGCCATGCGTCTGCTCGCCTTTTTCGCCGGCGTTTCTTTGATTCGTCGTCGCCAAGATCGCGACGTTTGACAGCGCGACGCGTCGGCTGCCGTGACGCCATTCGTCACGACTTCAACACCGCCTTCAACGCACAGGCAGTGCGGGAAGCCAAACGAGTCGGGTGAAGACGCATTTCGGGCAACGTATGGACCAGAAAGGTAGGAAGCTTCCGGAGGCGACACGACGCCCCGAGGGTGACCAAAACAGTCGTTGGCGCCAAGTCGGCTCTCCTTTTCGTCCAACAGCATCTCTCGGCTTTGGTCGTCGTTAAAAGCCTGTCCCTCCACACTACCGGCTTCACCTCTAGGTGGCGTCGTGTCGCCTCCGGAAGCTTCCTACCACTGTAGTGGTGACGCACCTTGTGAGGGGAGGCAGGTGGGTGGGCTTGGCGACATTGGCCAGCCGGACGAGCCGGGTCCGCTCCTGCAGCAGGGTCGCCAGCTCCTGGCGCAGCTTGGAGCGCTGGCTCTTGTCCGCCAGCGTCTTGGACTTGAGCGAGCTCATAAAGGCCTCCAGGGAGTCCTCCACGTCCTCTTCCGCCTCCTTCGCTGCTCGACAGAGTGGGGAGGGGGGGGGGGGGGGGGGCGACGTTTACGGGCCATTGAAGCCCCCTTCATGCACCAGTATTTGACTATGATTCGCCGCGATGCAAGTGCAAGGCGAGGATGGTCCACACGGTTGCGTTCGAGCACGTTGGGGTGTGTCGCTTCTTTTGGTCACCGATGACGTGAGAATGGCCTGCCTCCGGCACGCGCGCATTGCCTTTGGTTGCAATTTGGCTCCACACCCCAGGCTCGCAGGACACTGGAGCCTTATTGAAGGTAGGAAGCTCAAGCTGGAGGCGGGAAAACTGAAGCACCTCCCTGGCCATTCTCGTCTTGCCATTGACTACAGTAATGGCATACGACGAGAGAATGTTGGTGAGACTAGACTTGAGAGTGTGTCCAACTGCTCGATCGAGATCATGCCGTTTATGGGCCGCAGTTGCAGAACGAGCTGCGAGCAGACGAAAGCGTTGATAGTTTGGAAGCGTCTACGAGCTTTGTGCGGTCCCTCCATATCCGCGAAGCCGCTCGATTTCCTTCACTAAGAACAGGCAGAAACATATTGAAAAAGTGCAAACGAGACTGGGAAATCACGATCGCTTCGCCATAGCTGCTATTTCGTTATAACCGACATCGTCATAAACGGTTGCAGCGGTATCCTTTTAATCCAAGCCAAGTAGAGCTCGGCGTCGTACAGACGTCACCGCAACTCCCACCAACGTTGAGTCCTACGCAGAAGGCAGACGACTCGCTCTCCGCATTAACCCAAATAAACCTGTCACTTTCAAATTAATATTTCAATACGGATTGGACCGAAGCATTTTCTTAAAATATATCCGGCCAAAACTTAAAAGTGCCTGTAAATTTACAAAAACACAATTTCAGAAACGCGTTTTTATTTTCAATTATATTGTACCTTGAAGAACCACATCTTCCTCTTGAATGAAGAGCACTTTGAGTACTGCTTCGAGTCCCCTCGGAAAGTGGGCAGCTGTCTCGACCACCTAAACTGGAGGGAGCGTCCTCACCTGCTTGCTTGCTACTCTCCAGCTTGGCTTGCACCTTGGCAACTTCCTCTTCGACCGCCCTCAGCTTTTCAACCTTCAAAGCAAAGACTAGAATCAGCGGGCAGAGAATCACCGTGCAAGGGTAGACCATACTCTAAACATCAGTCTTTGAGAAGTGTGAAAATTTTGTTTCAACCAATTTGTTGCCGGATCAATGCGCAAGCACCTTGCTGCCACGCCAACTCAGAAATGAATATCGCCGTGGGGTGCGATTGCAGCGACGTCGCTGCTGGCTGGAAGGGTGTAGGCAACACTTGGCTCTGAACATTGCTTCGGTGGTGCCGGAATAAAGCCACTGAACCATTACATTAACCCGTTACTGCTGCATTCGAGTACTACTACAGCACGTGATATGTGTGAATCACTCTGGTACAACGGTAGTAAGATTCGCTCCTCGCGGCTTGATGGATGGATGAATGAATGAATGAATGTTAATAATTGTACAATTGATGGATGAATGGAAGAATGAATGAATGATGGTAATGGCTGTTCCTCATGTGTACACAATCTATGTACACCTGCATAATGACTAACATTGTATTGAAGTACAAAAATGTATTCTTCATTGTTTCTCTTTTTGTGCGTATGCATGAATTTTAAATTTCTTCATTATGTGTACACAATCTATGTGCCCCCCCCTGCATAATGCCTAATGGCCCAGTGCATATTTGCATAAATGTAAATAAATAATGGGCAATAACTTGCGCCACCTATCCTCAAAACCGAATTGCACTATTCCTCCTTCCCACCCTACGGAGCCGATTTTCTTCCCCCCTGCATTTTTGTAACTGTCATCAGACAGTGTGGAAAATCGCCGGGATGACCTTTGGGGGATCTCGATAATGACAGAAGGTTGCTCGAATCGCTGTCCGAATTCCAGGAAGGTCAGAATTGGGCACACACAACATTTATAGACCCTTTCTTTCATAGTCCTCTACATCAGAGCTTTAAATATGTCTATTTGTAGTCAGGCCAGTCTGTCTGACAATGACGACAAAGTGGTGAGATAAGACATTAGGTATTCCACCTGGCTCAGCTGCGACCGCCTTGAACACGAATGACGGAAGCTGCAAACACCACAAGGTGACCTAACATGAGAGGAGGCACGGTACCAGGGTGTCATAGGTGTCCACGGTGTCCTCCCGCTTGACCATCTTCTTGCGCATCTCCCGCTTCTTCTCGATGGTGCCCGTCCGGTCCAGAAAGGTGTCCTCGTCGCTGTCGTAGAAGTCGTTCTCCTCCCAGTTCTTCTCCTTGCGTTTGCGGCCCTCTGGACAACCGAGACGTCATCGACAGATGTTGAGGACGGGTGCAAACCTCACGTTTACACTTGAAACATTGGTCACGCAAGCAACCTTCTTGTTTACATTAATCTCTCGCGCGCCTTATAGACCTCTTCCGTTCACCCTCTTCCACAGCCACATAGTAGTTCATGCATTCGACATGAAAGACAAAAAAAAACAAAAAGAAAGATATCACAATTTGGAACAAGTAAAAAAAACTATACAAGAGGCAAAGCAAGAAAGATTGGCGGTTGCCATAAAAACACGAACACCTTTGAGTCGCGTGATGAAGGCAAAAAGGTGTTTTTCTCCATACTGGAACTTCCGCAAATCAAGACGACGAAGCCCGCGTGCAAGAGGTTTACACTGGGGCACAATCTGATGATTCAGTTTACACGAGAATGTGGCTTCTGGGTTAACGCAGGATGTAGGCCTGCGAATCACTGGTTGGAGAGACTATTGCAGGGTCTGGGCATAGACTGGATTATTAGAAAGTGGCTCTGTATTCAGCATGTCAACACTCTGTATTTATTATATACTCCGTTTGAGCACAGCTCAGCGAAGGGCAAACGCTACGCCCCTCCAATCCGAGACACACGAGGCGTCCGACAGCTCTCCACATGTCACATGTGTGTCGTTTGCAGACGGATGCCGTAAATAGGAAAAGCAGATTCTTGTTTTCCTACTTTTTATTTGGGTAAGTTTATTCTTTCGAATTTAGATATCCAGAGCGCACCAGCCACGGTCACTTCCGCAGTAAACCGTAGCACCGCACGTTAAAATGGCGATTCATGCAGTCCTTTCGAAGGACCAGCGTGCCACCAGATCTATGTTGTGTATAACGCCAAATGTAGAGCAACATTCGGCACAGAGGTGCTAAATGTTTCTCTAGTTGCAGACAGGATGAGGAACGGCAGGGCAACTGTAATTTTATCTTTCTCCCTTATTGTCCCTCCGAGGTAACGGGACTCAACATTTCGACCTGTGGGACGAGCGACCAAAAGATGAGCGTTGCATGCGACAAAAAAGTGAGCCGTCGACCGTCGGGGCTCACCGTGGCAGGACTTGCGGAGCTCTCCGTGCTGGTCGAGGATCCGACAGGCCTCGAGGGCGCACGCCACAACTGCCTCTTTCTTCTTTCCCTTGACGGACGCCTCGGCAATCACTGACATCCCATTCGGCGAGTCTATGGGAAGTCTGCAGACAAGAAAAGCCGGCCGTCGTTCCACCCGTCTTGTGTCCCGAAGCTCGGAACGAGCCACAAGAAACAAAGAGGTCTTGTCGGACATGTTGGTAAACTCGATCTCGAGACTGTATGGCGAGCAAGTTTGTCTCCGTTTCTTGCGCAGACGGTACAGTGACATCACAGCAACGAGCTCTGATTGCATTATAGTGAGCAGAGACAAGTAAATGCAAAGGCTAGCTGCCCTCGTCTCTGCCCACTATAGCCTACCGTGCAGGAAGCAGACAATGAACTTGCTCGAACCGAACAGGTTCGTCATCTGCTCCCTGAGCAAAGCGAGGCAGCGGTGTCAAGGTCAGGCCTTCGGAAACAGAACTTCAGCGCCTTCTGCTGGTCCCAGCAATGGCTGTCTGAACTCTCCTCGGCTTTCGTAAATTCACCGATTCTCTATGAACGAGGGCTTGGCCTTCAAAAAAGTGGAAAGCAATCAGTTCAAAGGATATGTTGTCTCTATCAACCAACAACTAGCAGACGCGCAGAACCCTCGGACAAGATAAGTGGGAACGTTCCGAACAGATGCTCTGAACAATGTTGTCAAATGTGGCATTTAGTGAATGATACCCATATGCAAGAATGCTACCTTCTTCCCTCTCTCTTGAAAGGGGTTATGTTTCTTTTTATGCCTTCTTTTCTGTCCTTGCACCTTCTCTGTTTGTCTCTCCCCTCACAACCCCCTTTCGTGACTCAGCTGTGTTCTAATGCCCGTTTGAAAAGAGACACATGTTAGTTGTCTTGCCAAGAGATGGCGCCGAATGCCCACAAGCGTGCCGTATTCCGACACACTCACATCTTGGCGCACTGTGTGTTGCGCTCCCCAATTAACCACGATACATGCGTCGTCCAGAGTAAAATAATGCAAACAAAAAATTTCTCGGCTCCATTTCTTTCACCACAACAAGAACCGATTAGGACGGTGCGCTTTTCCAACCCGTATGCCCAAACTCTTTGTCAACCAAATCGCACTATCTTAAATCTTCAATGTCCAACGTACCACAGCGTCAATCAAGCAACTCGTCGAAACTTTGCAAACAAAAGGATGTCCAAACCAAATTGACTTACTCGATGGTGCACACAAAGTGGCTGTATCCTTTCTCCTCAACGTGGTACTGCATATCGTACCCTGCGAGACAAAACAAACATGTGTCGTTGGGTTCCAGCGGAAAAATGTGAATTCGTACTTCGAGACCACGGTAAGGAGTCTGCATTCCTTTCGATCGGCCCTGCGGGTTATCTCACCTTCCCGTTCAAACCAGCCCCTCAGCGTCTTCTTGGGATCGTCCAGGTACAGGTCTTCGTTGGCGGCCGAGAGAGCAAACGGATTCTCCGTCGACGGGTCTTCGTCTTCGGCGTCATCACCTGCAACACAAAGCAATGTGTCGGCTTTAAGGTCAGGTGTCGCCAAGATCACGGGGCGGCACTATGAGACCAAAAGGAAACTGTGAGATGCAGTGTGTTCTCATGCCCTGTACATCACATTTCCATTCTGAGCATTTCGGAGCCACATACATTCAAGACTGTTCAAAGACGTGGGTTCTCACAAATATCCCAAGGAGTACCTCAAGCAGCCAGATCCCCTCAATCATTCCAAGCCCTAAGTAAAGTCTGTGTGGCTCATAGTTATGCACGACTATCGGCCACAGACGTGCTCCACATTATGTGCATTATTGTTTACAAAGTCTGCTCGTACACTGTTTTATGGCAAGCCTAGGAGGAAGAAGGTACTCAGCTCTCCTCCAAGGACGTTAAGTGTTCCCTTGCCCTAAGTATATCCGAGTAGTGCAACTAAAACTTGGGTAAAACGAGTTTCTAACTAAAGAAGCTTCGTGTCCGCCAAGGGATCTTGGAGAAAAAAGGGGGACTATAACAGATCAGTTTTAGTGCCCGTGGCACTGGAAGCTGGGAATGAATGTTACGTGATCGCATGTTCAGGAAAGTACTTGTACCTTTTATTCTTGCAATGTAACAGAGGAATGCCTACAACAAAGTGCAAGCTTTTGTTTTGTCACAAACACATAGCCTTCCCCTGTCAAAGTGGTTCTAGAGAGAAGGCACTTCTCAATTTCGTTTCCGTTGTTCATATGCAAGGTAGGAAGCAAAATGAGAAGTGCATTCCCTATTGGGATCATGGAGCCAAATTAAATTACCATATTTTCCGGTAATTAGGTTGCATTTTATTTTCCCGAAAATTTCAACCGGCACAATTTATATGCGTAATTTTTTATAGGCACGAGTCTTAACTGCACGTAATGTAGACCATATGAAAATTTCTGACAAGAAAGGAATGCCATAGCCCCTCCCCCTTCCAATTCCCTTGCAATGGCTTGCACTTCTGACGGTCTGAAGATGGCGGCTGCCAGCACTGCACCGACCTTAAAAAAAATGCAACTTATAAACAACTTTTTTTTTTTTTTTGCGGGAGAATGGTTTTTTATGGGGGTGCAACTTACGTAACAGTGTGACTCATCGACCAGAAACGACAACAAAACTTGTTTTCTGACCCCTTCAATTTGTCGGTCATGCGACTCCCACAAGAGCGCATCCACAACCATAAGGCACAGCAAAAAAGGGTATCATAGAAGCTCCGAGTGCAGGGACTGACCCATCCCCCAGTCGATGCCCGCCTGCTCTTCTTTGGCGGCGTCTGCTTCTGCCTGTGCCTTAGCTTTGGCCTCCCTCTCCCTGGCCTCCTCCTCCCGCTGCTTCCGAAGGGCCTTGAGCTCCGTGACCGTCAGCGGACACTCCTCTTCCTGGTCCTCCGCCGGACCCTGAGAGAACAGAAGGGTCATTCGGAAGACGACAACTGATTTTACTGGGCCTGCTGCACAAGCAGAGCAATGTCTTTGCCTCTGAAGTTGCTTTGTTGCCATTTAGTAAGGCCTTCAACATTATTTTAGACAGCTTAATGCTTGTTAAATCATTTGAGGCACTTTTAACTTACATACAGCCTTTACACTATATGCTTTGTTTCAAAGCTGTAAAGTGACGAATTGGAAATGTTTAAGTTAATACCATTAGTTAGGTACTCAAGAACATTCCTTATATTGTAATACATTTCTGGTAGTGTAACTTAGATATATACTTCTCGGCACTCAAACTCACCAGTAAAAATCGGCTGATTCCAGGTTTTGGGCCATTTAGACGAGGCCACAGGGAAAGATGTGGATGAAACTTGATGTGTCCCACATAACCGTTATGTTGTCTTATCTTCCACTATAATAATGTGTACAACCCTTAACTACTTCTTTAACCCATTCGCTACCAAAGCCAGGGAATCGCCAGACGTGCTGCCAGGGGCCATATTGACAAAGCCGGCAATTCGCCGGTCTGCATGAATTTCTGTTTTAACCCCTTAAGTGCCACATTTTTTCCCCCCAAAAGTACCCTAAAATGCCATATTGTTTTTATTTTGAATTTTTATTCTTCTAGTATTACACATATAATTTGAAAAGTTTCTTACAAAAAAGTCAGCGGAGGCGGAAAAAATATTTGCCAACTAATACGAGTGCTGCCATCTACCGATCAGTGCCGCGAAACTACACGGACGAGCCTTGTTCGTCCATGGAATTGAGGGCTACCGAAAATACCACCGGATGAGTTGAGCTCGTCCATGGCATTTTTAGCCCAAAAATGGCCGACGAGCTCGGCTCGTCCAAGGCACTTAAGGGGTTAAAGAGCCATTCATAGATGGCGCTCTATGTAGACTTGGGTAGTGTAGTTGGATACATTGCCAACAGATGGCGAGGGTCGTTCTGTTCGCTGTGTTTGAGCTTGTTCTTTTGTGTGTCGTCTTTCCTGCCTGATCGCTGCCTGTTTGGGGAAGATGGTAGCGTCCAGCGTACGGCGTGGCCTTTCTGACGATGAAATCATAGATATCCTCTTCGACAGCGATGATGACGGGACGTCTGGTGAGGATAGTGAGTTTTCGGAGCCTTCTGTCGATGACGGGAGCGATTCCCACAGCAGTTCTGAGTACGAATCACGACAAGACCGCACTGATTGTGCGATGCCTAAGCGACAGAGGAAGAATCATACGAGGAAGAATCTGTGAGTGCCTACTGATTTAAAGACTTGAACGACCCACTTAAGCATGTAAATAGACAAGTTTTTTTGTCTTCTGCATTGAGTTCTACTGTAAAAGCTTATTATACGAGTAAAACAGTCACGCCTAGTGAGGTCCTGTTTTAGGGGAACAACATGCAGTACGGACAGCCTGGCAGCGCGCGACGCGTGCAGCAGCGAAGGGGTTAAGCCAATTTACAATCTGGTGCAGCAATCAGGAGATACCGAAGAGCCACTTAAAATTGTGTCATCCGTTTGGGAATGTGATTAGGTACACCAAACATGAGAGAAGGACACAATGTAAACTTCTACAATAACAATCAAACACAACTGCAAGCTTTCATTGAAATGCGAACCTCGAGGATGAATGTCCGTGAGCTGCCGCCAAACTTGACCATATGGCCCACGTTGAGGCGCTTGTAGGACTTAGCGTGGATCTGTTCCTTGTTAACAAAAGTACCATGGGTACTGCCCAGGTCGTAGACATAAAACCCTGCAAGGAGCAAGACCCCAAACAAACATGTAAACACTTGTAAATTGTTTAACATACTTTCAGTTATGCACATAAAATTTACGTTTCACAGTGGTCAGCTCCACATGTGGAGCCTTTTAAATGTCATAGCATTCACTTTGTGTTGCTCTGAAACTATCCGTTGGTCATTTAGAACCCATATTTTTTTCACAGCAGTCAATTATTGCTACAGTTGCTACAGAGCCTTAAAGGGCCCTGCAATCATATTGTCACGGGTGGTGAGTCGTGACCAATAAACAAGAAATAAACAGAAATAAATAAACGTTTAATGTGGCGAACTTGTGCCAAAAATAAAGAAGGAAACAGAAGAAAGCAGAGCGTCGCGGGCGTCGAAGTCGGCGTGTCAGCAGAATCGAGCGCTGGGGCGAGACTGACTCGAAAAGGTCGCGGGCGGCCTCTTATCTAGAGTGCGTCGCTATCTCGAAGATTCGGCGAAAGCGGCTCGAGCGTCGCGTGATCGGGCGAGAATGAACACGCACTTTCTAGAAAACAAAAGCAGGAATAAATGATAGAAGTTACATGCGGTACATGAATAAACGAGAACTTTCTGGAGGTCCGTGACCGAGCGTTGCTTTCTCAGCCCTGGGCGCGGCATTATCCCCCCCTTTAAAAGTGCATCGTCCCGATGCAGCACAAAAACGGAAAACAAAAAACAAAAGGACAGCAGAATTGCTAGCCGGAGTTCACAGTCCACAGTTCGCTCGTCGACGAGAGTGGAGAGTCCTATCGTTCGTAATACGGCTTCAGCCGGACGACATGCACCACCTCGGGTCGCGGCTGACGTCTTGCAGATGGGCGCGTTCCGTCGGGTAGAACTTCGTAGTTCAGATCGCCGAGGCGTCGGATGATCTTGTAGGGCCCAAAGTAGCGCTTCAGGAGTTTTTCGCTGAGACCGCGACGACGAATCGGCGTCCACACCCAAACTCTGTCTCCGGGCTGGAAGTGGACGTCGCGGCGACGAAGATTATACCGGCGAGCGTCGACATGTTGCTGGTCTTGAATTCGTAGTCTGACTAGCTGGCGGACCTCTTCTGCCCGTTGAGCAACCACCTGGGCGTCATCGCTCCCGTCGTTGACTGACTCGTGCGGCAGCATAGAGTCTAGCATAGTCGTCACCGCCCGGCCATACACCAGCTGGAAGGGCGTCACTCCTGTGGTCTCTTGCACTGCTGTGTTGTAGGCGAACGTGACGTAGGGCAGCACTTCGTCCCAGGTCTTGTGCTCCACGTCGACGTACATAGAGACCATGTCGGCGATTGTTTTGTTGAGCCGCTCCGTCAACCCGTTGGTCTGCGGATGGTATGCCGTTGTTCGACGGTGTTCCGTGTGGCTTAAACGCAGGATCTCTTGGGTCAACTGTGCCATAAACGATGACCCTCGGTCTGTGATCAGTACTTCGGGGGCGCCATGGCGGAGGACGATGGACTCGATGAAGAACTTGGCGACTTCGACAGCAGTCCCCGAAGGAAGGGCTTTCGTCTCGGCGTAACGAGTAAGATAATCGGTGGCGACGATTATCCAGCGGTTCCCCATCGTCGACGGTGGAAAAGGACCCAGCAAATCCATTCCAATTTGCTGGAAGGGCTTGGTTGGCGGCAGTGTTGCGGAATGGGCATCTCCATTCCATTCCAATTCCATTCCGGGGAATTAGAGTTTTCGATAATTCCATTCCTTTCAACTCCTAGGAATGGGGACACTGGGCTCATTCCCACTCCTGGAATGGCTCTAATTCCTAAACGTTAAAAGTGTCACTTAACAGCTGCATTGCGTTGCAGGGTTGGGTACAAATATTCAAAAATGTATTTGGAAATACAAATACTGGGATAGATGAAAATAGTTGCTACAATAGTGATACTCAAGTCTCAAATATATCTGTAAAAATGTATCGCGATTCGTATCGGAAATACATTTTAAAAGGAGGCAAAAAGTCTTTGGAAATACAAATACAAGAATACATTTTAGGGAGCGCAGAAATACAAATACTGATAATGCAATACATTTTCCAAATTTCTTTGAGACGCCAACTGAGATGAGGCTTTAAGCTTGAAGTGGAAGTTTTTTGTTGTCCCGAAATTACTTTCCTGCAGGCTTGGCACTTCGCCTTGAAGGTAGTGGTTCCGGACGAAGAGTCTTCGATTGGTTCAAACAACGTTCCATCAAGGATTGACCGCGCTCCCTTCCCTGGCAGCCTGTCTGTCTCACCAGTTTTGCGAAAAGATCTCGACCTCTAAACAAATTTCATCAAAACACCACCACGTCCCTGTCCAATAAGAGCGCCCCTGTCAGCACTGATCACTTGACGTCACGGTGCGATGAACTAGTATTGCTAGTATTCTTGTATCTGTAGGTGTTGCCTTGAACATGAAACTTTACCCACGCTGCTGTATGAAAGGACAGTACGTACTTTCGTTGTAGGTGACCTCGTGGAAGGCCGTGCAGGAAGTTGCATTGGGAATTTTAAAAAAAGTGGACCACGTGAAGCATGCTGAAGCACATGTCTTATCTTCTGTTACGGTTGAAAATTCGATACGTTGGCATCCCTGCTGTGACGGTCATACCTGCCGACCCTCCGCCTCCAGCGCATGAATGGCAGTCCTCAAGTTTCGCCTAGCATCAATCAAACAGAGACCTCGTGGATTGCGAGCTGAGATAGCCGGCACAGGTGCGAGCCCTCCGAGAAACAGCGCGCTCTAGACGAGTCGCAGGTGTACGAAGTCTGGGTCCGCACAGCGAGGCCACGTCTGGCCTCGTTCCTGGGTATCGGATCACCAGAGCTGTGGGTCACGTTCACGTCGGCTGATGACGTACCCTTGAGCCGTGCAATATTACAGGCGCAGACGCATTCGGATTACTGTTGAACTTCACTAGTGAAAGGCCCCACCGCCGCCCCCCTTTGTTCTTTGCTTTGACGCTTTTTTATTGCATTCTTTTTGCGTAGAAGTCTGTTAGGGCCTTACGCGGGTTCGCAGTTTCCCGCTCATTTTATTTCTGAACAACTGACTCGCTGACTGGCTTGAAATAGCTGAACGTAAATAAATAAATAAATAAAAAAATATTAAGTACATGGCCCCATTCCATTCTCATTCCATTCCGGGCAAAAAGCACCTAATTCCATTCCCATTCCATTCCCTTCAACATTGCCGCCATTCCATTCCCATTCCATTCCGAGGTCGAGAAAATGCGGAATGATTCCGGAATCACTCCAACTCCGGAGTGGCAACTCCGCAACAGTGGTTGGCGGGGTAATCGGCTGAAGGAGACCTGCTGGCTTTGACGGTGGTTTCTTGCGTCGCTGGCACTCATGGCACGATCGTGTGTAGAGATGGACGGTCTTCGGAAGCTTTGGCCAGTAGTACTTGTCACGAATCCGGGCAAGGGTCCTGCTGTAGCCGAGATGTCCGGCCGTTGGGTCGTCGTGGCACGCTTGAAAAATTTCTTCTCGGAGGCTGGCGGGGACAACCAGTAGCCAGGGGGTTTCGCTGGTTCCGAAATTCTTTCTGAAGAGCACGCCTCGCCGCAGGACAAAGCTCGGTAGGTCCCGAGAAAAGACCCGTGGGACAGAGCCTCCTCGACCTTCGAGGCTGTCGATCACGGAGCTAAGTTCCGCGTCGTCGCGTTGCAGTGCCCTCATGTCGGTAGCGTCAACTGCGCCTAGAAAACGGGCGTCGTCATCGTCGTCCGCGCCGGAGATTGGAGGTTCGACTGGAGCCCTAGACAAACAGTCAGCGTCATTATGCTTGCGGCCGGACTTATGCACAATGGTTACGTCGAATTCCTGCAGTCGAAGGCTCCAGCGGGCGAGGCGTCCGGACGGATCCTTGAGGTTTGCGAGCCAGCAGAGGGCGTGGTGGTCTGTGACCACGCGAAACGGGATCCCGTACAAGTACGGGCGGAACTTGGTTATCGCCCAGACGACAGCAAGACATTCTTTGTCGGTCGTTGAATAATTTTGTTCTGCCTTAGACAGCGCCCGGCTTGCGTAAGCGATTACTCTCTCTGCCCCTTCTTGTCGCTGAACGAGTACCGCACCGAGACCGGTATTGCTGGCGTCCGTGTGGATTTCAGTCTCCGCCGACTGGTCAAAATGTCCGAGGATAGGGGGCGACTGGAGCCTTCGCTTGAGTTCGTCGAACGCTTGCTCTTGCTCCTCTCCCCACTGGAACTGCACGTCGTCTTTCGTCAGATGCGTCAGCGGTGCAGAAATTTGCGCAAAATCACGAACGAAACGTCTGTAATAGGCGCACAGCCCAAGGAATCTTCGAACGGTCTTCTTGTCCGATGGCTTCGGGAACTCGGCGACAGCGGACGTCTTGGCGGGATCAGGGCTTACACCCTGAGCACTCACGACGTGGCCCAAGAATTTGAGCTCATCATAGGCGAACCGACACTTGGAAGGCTTGAGGGTCAGCCCAGCAGCTTTGAAGGCCTGTAGAACGGCTCGCAGTCGTCTCAGGTGCTCGTCGAATTCGCTTGCGAAGACCACAACATCGTCGAGGTAGACGAGACTGCTTTGCCATTTCAAGCCGGCAAGGACGGTGTCCATAACGCGCTGGAAGGTTGCCGGCGCTGTGCACAGCCCGAATGGCATTACTTTAAACTCATACAGTCCGTCCGGCGTGACGAAGGCCGTCTTCTCACGATCTCGTTCGTCGACCTCAATCTGCCAGTACCCGCTCTTCAAGTCCATCGACGAAAAGTATCGGGCGTGGCGTAGTCGGTCCAGGGTGTCGTCGATGCGTGGCAGTGGGTAGACGTCCTTTTTTGTTACGGCGTTCAGTCGGCGATAGTCCACGCAGAACCGAAGAGTCCCGTCTTTCTTTTTCACCAGGACTACCGGTGAAGCCCACGGACTGCTTGAGGGCTGGATAATGTCGTCGTCAAGCATTTCTTGTACCTGCTGCTGGATGGCTTCCCTTTCTTTCACGGAGACCCTGTACGGCGGCCGATGCACAGGGAGTGCGTCGTCATCAGTAATTATCCGATGTTTCGCAACCGTCGTTTGGCGCACTTTCGACGACGTGGAGAAGCACTCACTGAACTCGGCGAGAAGGTCACGAAGTTGTCGTCGTTGTGGGGCTGGGAGGGATGGGTCGATGTCGAGCTCTGAGGACGTGATTGTCTTGTTCTGCGTCGGAGAGGCGTCTTCTGAGATCACGGCGATCGCGGCTGAGTCTTCGATTTCCTCGACGTAGCCCACAGTTGTACCCTTTGTAAGGTGCTGCGACTCTTGCCGGAAATTGGTGACAAGGGCTACTGTACGCCCGTCCTGGAGCTCGGTTACGGCTCTTGCAATGCCAATCCCTCGTCCGAGGAGAAGTTGGACGCTTCCTTCCAGCAGTGCTACACCGCAGGTGGCTCCTTCGGTCCCGACGGGCACAAATACACTCGACAGCGGTGGCAGGTTTACGTGGCTGGCGAGGACTCGCACTGCAGCTAACGTCGGTTTGGTATTTTCCACCGATGGGGCAGGCTTCCGAAGCGTCAGCTTGTTCTCCGCAAGGTCGATGATGGCGCCGTATTCACACAGGAAGTCCATTCCGAGAATGACGTCCCTCGAACAGTCTTGCAGAACGACGAACTTCACAGGGCATGTTTCGCCGTGAATCTCGACGCGAGCGGTGCATCTCCCGACTGGTGTAATGAGGTGTCCTCCGGCGGTTCTTATTCGTGGTCCATCCCACGGCGTCATGACTTTTCGAAGGCGGCGGGAGAGCCTCCCACTCAAGACTGAGTAGTCTGCTCCGGTGTCCACGAGTGCGGATGCGTCGTGGCCGTCGATGACGACGTTTAGGGTATTGGACACCACTGGAGCGGCGTCGTTTTGGTCTCTGGTGGCGTTCGAGTGGGGGCCCCCCGACGTTCGTGGAGGATCTTGGCGTCGGTCGTCTTCGGCAACTCCACCTCCAGGGGTTGCCGCGCCTAGTTTCCCCGGCGAGGAGCGAGGGGGGACAGGCTTTCACGTCGCGGTCGGTGCATCGGCGAAGCTGGACGTCGAGGTGACGGCGACCGGAACTCTCGGGGGGACGCAGGCTCGGGGGACTGAGGTCGTCGCAGGTACTCGTCGATCTCGATAGGGCGTTCACCATGACGGGGGCGCGGGTCGTTCGGGTGGAACCCGCGTAGCCCGAGTCGTCGGTATGGGCATCGGCGGTAGGTGTGGTCCGCTTCCCCGCAATGGAAGCACAGAGGGCGTCGGTCGGGCGTTCGCCACAGGTCAGTCTTGCGGGGTGCGCGAGGCTCCGGGCAGGCGTACTGGACCTGGTCGTCGTGGCGTCGGTCGTGCTGCGGCGCAGGAGACTGACGTCGGGGCGGCGTGACATAGGTGCGGCGAGGAGGCGGTGGCCGTCGGGCCACTGCGGCGTAGGTCAGGGCGGGCTCTTCGGGTGGTGCTACGCAGGCAGGAGCCTCCGGTTGAATTGCCCGCTGGACTTCTTCGCGCACCACTTCGGCGATCGACAGCTCAGCCGGCTGGTTGGCAGCAGGCAGCAGCTTCCGGAGCTCCTCCCGGACGATGTCGCGGACGATTTCCCGAAGGCCGTCGACACCGGTGGCGTTCAGGTCTAGTCGGCAAGATGCGGCGGTTCGAGGAGCAGGCACGCCGGCGAGTCGATGGTAATGGCTTGCTCGGGCCGACAGCGCTCGCTCGATGTTAGTGGCTTCAGCCACAAAACCGTCGACGGTTGTCGGGGGATGGCGGACAAGGCCCCCAAAAATTTCAGCCTTCACGCCACGCATGAGGACGCGGAGCTTCTTCTCATCGGCTGCCTCCGGATCGGCTCGGGCACATAGGCGCATGACATCCTCTACGAAGCTAGTCACGCTTTCGTTGGGGCCCTGCACCCTTGTTTGGAGAAGGTCCTCCGCTCGCTGCCGACGGTGGTGGTTGAGGAACGTTCGCTTCAACTCCGCGGCGCAGGACTCCCACGTAGTGAAGGACGCTTCGTGGTTTTCAAACCAATGCCTCGCAGTTCCTTCAAGCGCGAAGTAGATATTGTGGAGGTATTGTTCAGTCGTCCATCCGTTGTGGCGGGCTACACGTTCGTAGTGTTGCAGCCAGTCTTCAACGTCCTCGTGGACGTCTCCGTGGAAAGGCGTTGGAGTCCTGGGTGCGATCGGCAGGTACACAACGGCAGAAGCGGCCGGGGTCTGCGCCTGGTTGGCCATCGTCGTCTTCGGCTTGGTCGTGGGTGGCAGAAGTCCGTGTTCCGGGGGTAGACCTCGGATGCGGCGACTTGACCGGGTCTCGATCTGGTCTTCGTCGGGTCCTCCGGAGCTGGGGTTTGGACTTGTACTGCAGGAACTCGGAGGGCTGCGCTGCACGGACATGCGGTACCCCGCACCTCCACCAGAATGTCACGGGTGGTGAGTCGTGACCAATAAACAAGAAATAAACAGAAATAAATAAACGTTTAATGTGGCGAACTTGTGCCAAAAAATAAAGAAGGAAACAGAAGAAAGCAGAGCGTCGCGGGCGTCGAAGTCGGCGTGTCAGCAGAATCGAGCGCTGGGGCGAGACTGACTCGAAAAGGTCGCGGGCGGCCTCTTATCTAGAGTGCGTCGCTATCTCGAAGATTCGGCGAAAGCGGCTCGAGCGTCGCGTGATCGGGCGAGAATGAACACGCACTTTCTAGAAAACAAAAGCAGGAATAAATGATAGAAGTTACATGCGGTACATGAATAAACGAGAACTTTCTGGAGGTCCGTGACCGAGCGTTGCTTTCTCAGCCCTGGGCGCGGCGATATTTAAGCGTCCACCTTTTTAGCGGTTTCCACCTCTCTTGGGGTTCGGGCAAGCCAGCGGGCACGGAGAGAGTTCTAAATATCAGTGCATCATATGTTAACCGGACGACGCGGAAACCTCCTCCACCGACAGGTGGAGGAGGTTTCCTTAAATCAGCAACGGCTGTCGTCTACCCAGTTAAGCGAATCCTAAGCTAACAGTACACAGAGAGCTGGTCAAAAATTGAGTCCGTTGAAACCAGTGGCCGGGATGATCTAGTCAGTTAATGCGTCGCCCCAGACAGGAGAAGGTTGCGGGTTCAATCCCCGCTCCTGGCCCAATTTTTCGGAAGCTCTTTTCCTTTCCCTAACTTTAATGCAATAAATTCAATAATCACCTTCTCCCCTCTTCATTCATTATATATATAAATATATATATATAAACTAAAATTTCGGGGAGTGTTCTAACAGCTAAACACCCACCCCTGACTACGCACAGAAAGCTGTCAACAAAATATCGCAAGATCTGTCAATGAAACGGACGCAGGCAGCTTTAATGACCGCTGAGCCTAGCATTATGTTTGGACGGAGCATTGAAATGTATAGACCTAACCCTCCTCTCCCCTCTCCCTCCCCCTCCTCCTCCCCCCTTGTGAACCTAGGGAAGGTGGAGATTTGGACGTAACACTATAGATCTGCTGAGTCACTGTGCTGTGGGCACATGCGCAGCGTCTGATCTACTGCATAGGGAATCAACGGCACTTGCTCAGAAGGCGCTCCACAGCACAGCAGACAAAGATGGCAGCACGCAAACAACGATTCTTGCAGAAGTCTACACTCGGCGACAGGTAAAGAGTAAAGTAGAGGCGCCTCCCACATCTTTTCACTCGAACGCTGGAGAGGAGGCGACCTCCAGCATTCGCTCTGCTAAAGTGGAAAGAGGTGGGAGGAGCTTCCACTTCACTCTTAAGCTGCGACCGATTAGGCACTTCATTTAAAGAAACAACTTTTGATGAAATGTCGCAGTGTAGGTGAAATGATATGCCGACGAAACTTTGTTCGACGAGCTAATTCCACCGTTTCACGGGATAGTTGGTAAGCCTACTTCACAGGTGTTTCTACTACTGTTCCCTTTGTCGTGGCAGATCATCGATATTTTGGCAAGCAAATTAAGACGATACCTGACTTGCTCTTTTCTTCCACGGCAGCTCTGAACTGCACCACGGCGTGGTACCTGGACACCGAGGGGTGCTCCATCACGACATCGCAGTCCTCTTTGCGACCCACGACTAGAAACGGCTTGTCCAATGCCACGGACGCTTGGATCACCCCGTTCTTGATCACCTGAAAACTGTATTCACGGTCGGGCACACCGCTCCAAGGCGGCTCGGTGTACGGAACACCCGCGCACGTTGACACCAAGGTTTCGGACGAGCGCGATACTGGCGATACACCCGGATCAGGGCCTGAACCGTGATCTGGAAGGTTGCCGGGTTCTTGCCCTGGTTCAGGGCTGTCGGAGGGCTGAGGTAGGTCAATGCACTGAGCCAATGGCTTCGCGCCAGATTTTAGAAACTTTTGCTTGCCAGGTCGGGGCCCGATCAACAGCGGCATCTTGAAGGGGACGCGCTGAGGATCGGGATTGGACGAGGATACCTCTGAGCCGTCATCGGGGTCTGGTGTAAGTTCGGGTTTGGGTTCAGGTATGGCTTCGGATTCACCGAGCGCAGTCGACGATGTGACCCCAACATCGTCGGCGCATGGGCCGTCCGTCGTGGTTGAGACTTCGGTGTCCATCACGCTCATCGTGAAGCTCGAGTTGCTGATTGTGCAAGTAATTCCAGTTTGATCGCATATGTTCACCGGCGAGCTGGGTCCATTAATTAATAGAGTAACTGGTTCATGAGCGAAACGTGAAGGCGACGAACAACGAAAGCGAGAAAACTTGCACTAGAAGCGGCCATTTTGCTGTTGACCATGGCACATGGCTGCCAGATGCTATTTTGATTTCGCCGTTTCGTTTCGTTCTGTACTCCGTACGCTAGCGGCCTATCGGCGGATCTGACGATATGCTTATTTACTAATTAAGGCGCTTGCAGGATTTTGCGGTCGTCCCGTCTAATGCATATGAGCGGAGTAGGATGTATTCCCCCTAGTAAAGTATTTGGGGAGTCTCTTCTGGTTCGCTTCTAACAAATCTTCCAATGACGTGCCTAGGGAGTAGGAGAGGGAGGACGCTGGTGGTAACTGCATCCGAAACCGCCGACACCCGGTAGAACAGATTGGCTCTCTGACCACAACAGTATGCAGACCGTTACGAGGTTGAAATTTTCATCCTTCGCCGAGTCGGAACCTAATGTGTACAAATCGGTGTTGTAAGCGCACTAGTTTTTTTTCTTCTTTTTAATCATTTTGTACAAATGTATATGTATATATTGTAAGAGTGCATAGGTCGGGTGTTGTGGACACGCTATACTTCGTTTCAGCTTCGGTCCAGACGCAGATAAAGCTACAAGCGCGAGCTCCGGGCTTTCAGCATCCCTGCCAAGCACGCGCGCTCGTGCAGTGCAAGCACTGTTCTGGGCCACATGCTCGCGCTTGTAGCATCCGCTGCGTCTGGACCGAAGCTGAAACGAAGTATAGTGCATGGGCGTCAGCCTTTTCCCAACACCAGCACGCCTGTACATTTGTACCTGTCAAGTGCAATAAATATCAATATCAATACTAACACATTTCGTCGAAATTCCACCGAAATCAGAGAAATCGCTGCTGTCGATACGACCGCAGCGATTTCGGCATATCATTTCTTCAAACGCGTTTGCGGTGAACGTAAACCTGAATAAGTGAAGAAATAACGAAGAAACTAAATGCATCAACAGTAATTTTGCAACGCACATATAAGGCAACCAATTGTCAGAGCAAACATTTATTGCCAAAAATTGCACTGATACATACATATTTAGAATGTGTGCCTTGTGGGCATATAGATGTATATAAACTTCACACGGGTTGCGTTAGATTGGAATCTATAACAACTATTGCAAGATAAAGATAAATAACACACCTTTATCTACGCCATTAGGAACAGTGGCATCACTAGGGAAGGGCGAGGGGGTAGGGGGGGGGGAGTATTGGACTGGGTGCCGCTGACCCTAGTGATGCCGCCGATTAGGAAATATTTTTAAGAAAAAATATCGCTACAAAACAACAAGGACACATATTCAAATATATGACCATGCATCTATAGGCACATTTTGAAGCAATATAAATGCTTTGTTACATGACTAGAAACCCTAAAAAAAAAAAAAAAGGTTTGAGCCCTTATATATATTAAGCTTTTAAAAGGTATATACACAACTCCTTAGTTGCATATACAGTGGAGAAGGCAAGTAGCAACTATCACAGCCCACTAAGTAGTAAACACCTTGCAAACACACTATAGCACCTCGTCAATCCAAAAAAAAAAATTATCAAAAACAACCAAGACGACACGCTGTTGTAGAAAACCTCCATGAAAGGAACAATTTAAGAGTGGACAAAATTTAAGACAAGAAATTAGATCAGTCAATACGATGATGAATGTGCGGACATCACAGCAACACTTGTTCCCCCACAGAGGTGACCGTACCGTCCGTCGACACCACAAACACCTCGGGAGAGATTAGAAGGGGCACAGGCAGTTCCGGGTCGCAGACAACGTCGACGTACGACGTCTGCACAACCTCCGTCTGACATTTTGGAGCATCCTGCGACGGACCGGCCACCGTCCAATCCTCTTGGGATATTCCCTGCAATACGGTTGGCATCTAACGTCAGGCGTTGAGTGGGCCTTTTGGTGCTTCGTTTTTAAAGATGTTGATCCTGTGCAGAGTGCAAGTTCGTCTGCTTCTTTTGCAAGAGCTTGCGGTGACGTCAGAAGGACGTCAAGCTCTGATTGGCTTTGATCGGAAGCGTAGTGGGCAGACCTTAATGCTAGATGCCTTGGGAAGAAAACTGTGAACCCACAGTTTTCTTCCCAATCAGCCAATAGGAGATGTGCTTTCTTATATCATCGCAACCCCTGTGCAAGGAGACAAACTTGCGCTCCGCATAATACTGCGACCATCATTTTAAAAAAAAAAAACCTGAAAGAACACCTTCGGGCAGTGCAGCTGTGGAACCCAGAGGTTCCAAGCCCGTAAAGCAAATACTGTAAAAGACTTAATTTTCGCGAATCGGGCCAAAGCTGAAAATTTGAAATTATTCGCGCGTCATAATTTTCGCGAATTGAGCGTAGCTTCCGTAGCGTTCACATATTGCCCGAATCATTCGCGGGACTTATTTTTTGCGAATTGTAGGCGATTCGCGAAAATTAGGTCCTCGCAAAATTTTTGTCATTTACAGTATGTGAAAGCATTTTCGAGATGAACACCCGAAGGCAGATCCAAGCAAGTGCGTGGTGCTATGTGTGAGTGGTGTCGTCAACCAGACGGTTTTTGTCGTTCTCCCGTGTGCATACAAAAAAGAAACAAGATTTTTTTTTTTTCGGCTTAAATATTTTTCTTGAAAAATGCGCACGATAAACGCCATGCCTAAAGACACCGCCGTGAAAAGTTACAATGCACTTCGTTTGTTGGTTCATTTATATGAATGTCTTTACGCTTAAATATTCTCAGGCGGACACACCAGAAGCCATTGGGGCCAACTAACTTCCCCGGCGTCTAAACACGCACATGAATGCACACAACACAAGTACAAACTATCTGAAGAAGAGAAAAAAACATTATTAAAACGAGCTCACTGGGCGCGATTCAAAGAAAGTTTCCTCACGTATATCTCCCATTCGCCGGCGTCGTCCCTAAGGCCTTCGGTCATTAGCGCGATCTCCATGTCGGGGACGACCGCAGCATCCTCCAGGGCCTTGATAGCAGAGTCCAGCTCCTGAGGGACAGCGAGTCGCGAGGTGAGCTCGGACAAGCACAAGGAGCCCAGTTTCATTGAGAGCAAGATGAAGAAAAAACAATTGACAGAGACAAAAAAATGAGATGTTTACAACTCCTTGTAATGCGGAATTAGAGTGCAGCTCTTAAAGAGGAGGGGAGGGTATGGCAAGGAGGGCATGCCTCTCCCCTCCCATACCCTCTCTTCCTACTCCATCCTCCTCTCATTAACCTCCCCTCCCTCGTGACGTCACTCGTAAGAGTCGTGACCTTAACAAGTGATGGTCACGTAAAGGTCGTTACCTTCACGAGTGACCTTTGTGACGTCATTATGGGAAATGTCCCATAATGCAACGTGCGGTCACGCCGCTGAAGCCAGAAAGGGGCGCCTAAGAGATGCGCTCTATAAGAGACAAAACTTGCGAGCTTGCGACGTCAGAGTCACAACTGACTTCACGAGGTTACATGTGGCGTGCGCTCAGCCACTTGCAACACAATCTGGTTTCTCCGGGATCATCGGACGTGACCGAGCTGCAGTCGTGCTGCTAGTGCATCGTATGAATAAGTGTACACTGTAGGCTCGTTCGATTTACCTGCACCGTTGCAGGAAAGTGCAGAGCAGTGTACTTCCGGTGTCTGTACCGAGGTACAAACGGAAGTACACCGCCCTACACCAAATGTATGAAGCACACATGCTTCGAAAGTCTGCTCGAGGCACGTCCGCAAGGCTACTCCCTCGTCGTGTTTTCGGCAAACGCCGCGTCGTTTGTACGACGTGCGAGCGGTGCGATTTTGGAGCAAAGGGTCGTGCGGTATGCGCACCTTGGGTGGTACCTCCCAGCTGCAACTGTTTACGGCGAGACCCTGCCGTTGACCGTCGTCGTTCGTGAGCAGATTGCAGCGGGGCGGGATGGGAAGTGGCCGCGCACTGCACTCAGCCTGGATGCTGCGTTCAAGGTGCCGGAGGTAGCAGAGGGTTTGCTTGAATTTGGCAGCCTGGAGGAAGAGGCACACAAACGGGGGGGGGGGGGGGGGAGTTTGCAGTTTGGGTAAAGCACGGAACCGGAAACTGATTGCGTCTCGTCAAGAGAGATCGTGTTTATTTATTGATCGGTGCAATGTACCACGGCGTTTCTTTTCTGAAGCGTTATCGTAAGAAAACCGAAAATGAAAAAAAAAGAGAAGGAAACGACCATATGAGTTTTGTGTCGAGAATTAGATGAAGTGTTGCTTATAATAGCAAATACATAACAATTAAGAGTGGCAATAATGGCTCGTTAGAACATTGTGGCTATTACAACGACAAGCAAATTTGTTCCGACCGGCGACACTGCACGTTTATAACATACACGGCAGAACATGTGATGCTCTGCCATATATGTTCTCTATATTTACCCTGTTCAGGGTAAGTCGTGTGAATTTGTATATAGGACTGTATATATTACAACAGCCGTTATTATGTCTTGACTGCCAGTTCAAAAAATCTACGACCTATGTGTCTCGTCTGTTTCCCTTCCTTGCGTCTTTCCTTGTATATTCGTCAACGATACCAGAAAGCTTTGCATTTTTGCATGCAAACATTGTACAGAATACAGAATTAAAATGTCCATCCATGTATGTGCCCTTGTGTTTTATCGCTAGAGGGACTGGCTTTGTGCTTTCTATTCGCAATACTTTATAGCCAAGACCATGTTGACCCACCTTGCTGCTTTTCCCTTCGTGGTTGAGGGGTACCATCTCAAAAAGTGTGGCCAGCTGCGCCATGACTCGCCTGTGCCTTGCCCTGACAAGTAGAAAACAACAATAGCGAACATTCACTTGAACCGGAAGAGCCGGTGTACTGACCGCAACACTGTCTGGCTATAGCATATGTTATCCTGGATAACACAGTTTTGGATAATTCATTACATTTCATTTATTATCGCTTAAAGGCCCCGCCAGGGGCATTACATAAGGGGGGGGGGGGGGGGCAATACAAAGAAGCACACAAGTAGAACTTTTATACAATAAAAAGGTACACAGTTTTGTACCTTTTAAGTACCTTATAAATTCTTTGTCTGTTAAATAGGTTGTCACTCAGAGTAAAACAAAAAGTATGTGACCATTTGACTAAATCTAATATTCGCTGCCACCTGCCATCTATGAAAATAACTGATGCACCCCGATTACCCCCAAAACAATGCATACAATTAAAAAAAAAAACAGAGGCCCGGCTTCGTATAGGGGAATGAAAGGGAATCATAAAAGATTACGTTAAAAAGTACTTGTACTTTACTTTGAAAGTACATTGTATTTACAGTACTTCACTTTAAATACCCGGTGTACTTACTAAATTACTTGAAGTACATATAACCTCTCTTTTATTTTGTACTTCAACTACTTTTTATGTGGTAATTTTTGAAGGTGGGCTAGTCGGTGATGCATTGTAAACATAGAAATAAAACAGCGCAAACGAACACAAGGACAAGTAGAAGAAGGGACACAGACACAGCGCTGTTTGTGTCTGTGTCCTACTTCTACTTGTCCTTGCGTTCGTTTGTGCTGTTTTATTTCTATGTTTACAATACTTTTTATGTGTATACTAATTACCCCAGCCTGTCCATAGAATGCACTGCAGTTACCATAGCAGCTATCCTTAAAACGGCGGCATGTCGAGCAACGGGAGGCGAGCCGAGTTCCGTAACTGAGTTGATCCTGGAAATGTCTGCATACTTACCTTTCTTTTTGGGAGTGAAGTAACTTCTTCATTTGTTCCTTGTCTGGAGAAGACGGCACCCTCTGATCGCAGTGTCGCCTTCGATGCTGCAAAAAAAGAATAAAGGAAATAAAATTACATGTCGGACTGACGTGTTTTTACCGAGGTTTGCCTGTTCTGTCTTTCTTTGTTCTTGAAACGCCAATCATGTTGACCCTCACTGCTCTAACTTAGATAGTCACTATTGTGACTTCCGATATCTAGTGTCACTGATGCTTGCCCTAAACTCAATTTTTAGAACCAATATCTATTTTTGTGTCGCTGATAACCGAAACTGAAAGAATGGCGCGAAGTGACGTCCGAAAAAAAAATAAAAAACGTGCCTAGGCTTGGCGGCATACCCGGCGCGGCCGTCAGCGTGGCAGACTTCATTCAGTGTGTACGTTAAACGCCAATTTGAAAAGATTTGTTATCTAAATAAGATGAAGGTTACTCTGGAAAAAGACGGAGAACATTACCTTTCTTTGCGGCTTCATCGTAGATCGTCTGCTCTTGCTCTGCTCCAGATTTCCCGCGATTAAAGAGAGTTGGCACCGCCACACCACCTAGCGTCCACGCAGCCACTCTGACCCAACCTTTGCACCTTAAATACAGTCGCTCGCCTTTTCTCACTGAATATCTTCACTAAATTCTTTTATAAATAGTATACCGCATACTAATTTGTATTTTATAAGATATTTGGTTTAGTTTGCCCATTTTTGCCACTTTTGAAATCGCCTCGAAGAGCGCATTATCCACCAGAAGCCACATTGCGGTAGAGACCAAACAAACATGGATCCTTTGGGTGAGTTTCTCATCTCCTGAATTTCCAGATTTCGCCTAACATATGTAAATTGTCGGTAGTGGCGAACCAACCAGGTGGGCACAAATAACCCGGCGCGACTACGCCCGCCCGCTTCCCTAGATACCAGCCTGCGTTCGGCCAAGGATCGAGAAAACCATCGACGTTCGACAGTGTTTTCTTCGGTTGGCGAAGTCGGCCGAGAGACGCTATCCAAGAGTGTTTCTCGCTTATCCTCTGAGATAACGGCATTTGCGAAGAAAAGGCCGTTTCTATTGCGTAATTTTAGCGTTGTCCTCTGGAGATTTCAGGCGCCGCTTCTGTACCCTTTTATAGACGCCGAAATCGCGGGCGTTGGGCGGAATCGTCGGCTGTGCTACCCCCTCAAGCTGTATCGCGTTTCACGAACGTTCTTGACAGAAGTGGGCTGTTGGATTACCGCACACACCTCGCTAAACACAGATTTTTTAAGAAAAGAAAGAAAGTAACGCTTTTGGTTAATGTAACCGTGAAATGACAAACTACTTTTCTTTAAGCGCGTAAAAAAAAATGTCTACTTTTCTTCGAAGCAACGTATACGCTTCTATTAAAAACACCTGTACCATCGTATCATTCGAGTAAAATATTTTTGACATATTGAGTTATCGAGTACCAAATTACCGGCCCAGAAAAAGAGGAAGGCACTTGTCAAACGCGAAGTTACTGAACAACGTTCGGGATCGCTACAAGGGACCGAAGTTGATCTGTTCTTTACGTTTTTATCGAATAACTATTATTAAGATTGCATTGTTGGTGTTATACGCCAGACCAGTAGCTTACGTGGCAAAACAAATAAATATATTTTTTATAGCAAATGAAAAAAGATCAGGTGTCACTGGTCGAATTCTTGATCAACTTCGCACACGCCTCCGGGTTTTGGGGGCTTTAGTGAACAGCTGCTTGCATGTCAAAACTGTCACTCTATGATGAGTCAGTAAATATAGAACGAGTAAATATAGAAGAGAAAGAGCGGTTTCATGCTTGAGCATGGAATCGCTTGGAATCGGAATTGACGGCTGGATACTTCGCGTTATTACTTGTTCCCTATATTACAAACGCATCGGTCCACTGGCCTATTTTTTCAGCCTATATAACTATGAAGTGTCTGTTCCAAAAATATGAATTAGTTGTCTGTTCTAAGCCTGTCAGATTAAGGAAAAATAAAGCGTGACAACAATTCAAGAAAGTGTTAAACGATATATGTATCTATTCAGAGACTTGGGGCGAACAAACTAAAGGACAAACACTTATAACATGATTAACATCCCTAACTGAGCTCGAGTTGGGTACGTTGTTTGCTATATTTTTTTTTTCCATCCTATTCTGGGTCAGTTACAGATAACAACTCTGATAGGTGTTACCCATGTGAGACGTTACAGTCTCTCGTGTCCCAAACAAACAAACAAACCAGAAACGCGACGTGTTAATTATACAACCCTTCGATACACAGGTAATGCATTTACATAATACGAAAGCGTTGTTCGCGCCGCCCGTCGTCTGTTACGGTTACTTCACTTCGCGCTACCCGGCCGTGGTGCCTACAGTGGCCCTGTTGGTCGCCGCGCGTTCCGCCTGACCGACAGCCCGCAAGTCCCTCCCACTTGATATACGTGACACGAACTGCGATTAGCGTGATTGAGCCAATTCCGGAATGGGATCGCTTCCGCTTCCACCGTCCTCGTCTGCTACTGGCGTTATTCGCGATCGCATTATGTCACATTCGCGTATGAGTCTTTTATTTGCCTCGTGGTTGTACTTTTTCTTCCTTTTGTCTGTTGTGTTGTCAGAATTTTTCAGTGCGTGACAAACAAAGGCATTCTCTTCGCGGCGGCGTGGAGATCTGAAAGTCTGAAAGGCTTTGACGTTCTCCTTTTTTCTTTTTTTACACAAAATATATTCCTTGGTCTAAATGCTTTGAGCCCATCTGCCTCATCACAATGCGGGATTGCCGATACTACGATTTGAATTCGTCGCTGCGGGTGTCTTGTGTAATAAAAAAAAGTATACTACTTTCTCTTCGCGTGGGTTACATCCGGAAGTTCGTTGCAGATCGTCGCAAGAGGGTGTGTCCACGTTAGATCGTGCAACGATGGCTCAATTTATTTTTTTATATTTATATTTATGTAAAAAAATATATTTTTAAGCCACGTTCCTGTGAGGATCATTCAGCTATATGCGAACGCCGTAGCTAATTTTCTTGGAGGTATAAAATTTCGCAACTCGAGTCGCGGAGGCTGGCGAGGTTTCGCTAATGTATTTTGCAGATTCGTCTATTTCACTCCGAAGTACGCACGTAGGAACCATTTTTTTTCTACTTATCTTATAAAGAGTTTACGACGTGTACACGAAATATTAAAAAAAAATGGCAATAAATTATTTCTATGCGAAACATTTTCGAAACGCGTTTTAGAAACACAATTACAAATTGTTTACCAACAAACTATTTCGTATAAAACGACGCAAAATATACCAAAATGATAATCTTTAAATGCATTTTACGAATATATAAGAGAAATATGCTTAGCCATTATTTTAATTCTGTTTTGATGCAAAAACGCAGCTCATTTTTCGAAACGTAACATATCTTCAAGTTAATAATAATAACAAAAAAAACCTTAATCGTTTAATGACTTGAACTAACTTGTAATGCGAAGGTTTGTTGTACATTGAATACAACAAACCTTCGCTCAAATTGAGTGAAGGTTATACGTTGGATAAACGAAAGCGGTAGTTCCTACGTCCGTGGTCCCCGCAAGCTCTATTTACCGTCGCTCGATTCGTCAGCTAGTCCGAAGAAGTATGGAACTTAAACTTCGGACTCCATTCCTAGGTCGGACCACGGCTCGCTCGTATTGCCCATGATAGCACGCTTTGTACTATGAGACGAATCAAACGATTTCAAAAGCGCAAGTCACTGGGCCTTTTCTGTTTAGGATTGGTTCAATCGATGATGGAACCGTACAAAATCACGACGAACATCATAATGATGATAAATCAATTAATGCAAAGGTGTAAGCGAGCTGGACAAGAATGACGTAAATAATCCCCGGGAAAGGGGAACAACGGGGGCAATAGGACACACAGAAATCTCCAAACACAGCTAAATGACTGGAGCGCGACTGAAAAAAAAAAAAAAAAAAAAAAAAAAAAAAATCCGCTTGGTTTTGGTATCGAACCAGGGACCTCTCCATTTCTAGTGGAGCGCTTCCAGGAGTCAGACGTCAGTAGAGAAAACGGGTTTTATCAGCTGCCACCAGTCTAACACCAACACGGGTGAACGGCCTGCATTTTAAGGCCCTTCGTCCTTGTTGGTGTTAGACTGGTGGCAACTGATAAAACCCGTTTGCTCAACTGACATGTCAAACCCCTGGTTAGCTCAGTTGGTAGAGCGCCCCCACTGGGAATGGAGAGGTCCCTGGTTCGATACCAGGACCAGGCGGATTTTTTCTGAAAAGACGGTGAGAGTGCAGGCGAGCTGGTGGTAGCTAATCATGTCGTATTACACCTGAGACTGCGGTGGAAGAAATCGGAAGAACTTTCAGTAGAAGGAACAGACACAGAGAACGTCTCAATAGATTTCTGCTAACATCGGAGCCACCGAAGATCCAATGCATACACCATCTCTTTGAACATATTTCTGCCCATTATATTCAACAACTGTTGCTTGAAGGTACAAATCAAGAAGTGAAAGGAAACTGTCGACGGCGATGCCCGTCCTGGACTGAAAGTTTACCAGGTTTAACTCTAGCACCTGCCGAACTCTTTGCATCAAGCGCACTTTCTCAAGCGAATAGTATAGATCCTTAATGTCCATTGACATTACAGTGCATCGTCTTCCATGAAAGCCCTCTAGAACATCAATTAGTGCCTCTGAATTTCTCAGTGAAAGACTCCCCCCCCCAGTTGAATTACATTCAACCCTCTTTGCAAAAATTTCGAGACGCTACACTGCCACGTTCCGAGTTCGTTGATTACTGTGCGAAAAGGTATATCCGGTTTGTGATCTGTCAAAAAAAATTTTAGACTTAACGAAGACCTTGTTTGGTTAGGTACTTGTTTTGCCAAATTATCCATCTCATCTTCCTTGAAGATTTCAACAATATTCTTCTTAATTTTCTTAATGTTCCCTTTCCATTCAATGAAGAGTGCGCTGAGGGCTTCGTCTGCCTTTCTTCCGAACACTGTCTCGGGAAGTACACCGAACATACCACTTTTGTCAGTCTGCAGCAGACGCAGCGATCCCCTTTCTAGTTCCTTCACGGCAGCGCTTATGACACGAAAATCTCTCTTTTCAGTTTGAAAGCTATCATTCATCAGTTTGTCCATTCTATCAACAGCACAATCCACGAACGTGGCTCTTTCATCATGACCCGTCACTTTCGAAATAGTCTGAATTGCGGAAAACACATCTACCCTTGAAGGTTTCACGTTCATGCAGAACTTTGGGCCATTCCCCAGGATTTTTTCTGTCGCGCACCCGTTTTTGCGTTTGTCCTTTGTCCCCCTTCTCTAGGTATTATTATCGTCACCATGATAATGCGCTTTTTGGCGTTGTCTGATTAGTTCAATCAGCTCGCAGCATCGGCTGCGCTCAAGTGAAGCATAGGGCCATTATTCGAGTCAAATATATGGTTGTTGGGTTGGGTGCTATGAATGACGCATGCGGCCACAAACCGAATGTTATATCGGTGATTTCATCTAATCGTTCCCAATAGAGTACC